CCAGGAACCCTTTAAAATTTCTAATGCGACATTTTCAGGTCCCACTGGCGATGTCCTCTTCGAATGTCCTCACATCACTTGGCGCCGCCTCGCATGATAAGCTGGAAAGACGGTAAAGCCCACAGAATTCGAACGGCCCCGAAATGTATGAGAGTGAAAAAGAGAGACAGAGAGAGAGAGAGAGAGAGAGAGAGAGAGAGAGAGGGAGCGAGAGATTATTTACAGCAAGATATAAGCGGAAACAAAAATTATTCCCCCCCCCCCGTTAAACGGCAAGAACCCAAACTCCTACCCATGCTAAAGATCCCATCGCGACAGGCAAATGGCGTGAAGGTGCTCGCCGACTCGAGAGCCGGCACGGTCGCTACCACGACACTAGCCTGCGACCCTGACGGTAGCTGGGTGGATGCAGATCAAATTACGGTCACCAAGATTGGATGCTCGTCTAACAACTGATAGAAGGCATTGTGGTGGCTTGGAGTTCACGATCAAAAATAAATATATTATGTCCGGTATATTACTGCATTTTTAATATTTGTGAGAAGGGGGGAAAGACAGAGAGAGAGAGAGAGAGAGAGAGAGAGAGAGAGAAAGCGAGAGAGAGCGAGTGAGAGAGAAAAGAGAGAGTGAGCGAGAGAGACAGCAAGAGAAAGAGAGTGAGAGAAAGCGGTAGAGACAGAGAGAGAAAGGGAGGTAGAGAGAGAGAGACCGAGGGAGAGGGAGAGATACAGAGAAATATAATCGTATAATCCAAATAGCCTATTTTTTCGATTTGTATGCATTTTAGGTTAATACCTCAATGATTTTCATATAATTTTGTTAAGCCTGTTGACGTCTCGCCAGATACTTTTAGCATCATCTGTGACACTTTTTGCTCTACCTGGTCGTACTTTGCTAATTTTAGCTCATGCTCGCCATGGCAGGATATAAATATTATATTTTCCTCACCGCTCCTTACCTCATTGCCATTTCCTGTATTTTTTAAGCTACCCTTTTATGATTTTAGTCTGTACCTATGGCACCATTCACAACATTTATCGTTATATCTCGCCAATCCTTCGCTAATTTTCGCTACTTCTCTTCTCTTCTGGATTAGTTCCCGTGATCTCGATCCCCGCCGCTGCACGTCTACTATAGAAGCCAAACGAACCAGAAAATGGGCGAGGTGTCCCTCTTGTGGGCTTCGTCTTACTGCTTATTTCATGTGTTAATCTGGTTGGCGGAGACGTGTAAATCCGCTGCCCCTGCCTCCAGATCGATCCCCGGGTCTTCAGGCCGGCCCAGGAAATTGCTAATCCTCGCGGCTATTTTTTTGTATGTTTTTGGGTAAAAAGTGTGACTTGGAGGAGCACTTGCTATACTGTTTCTCGGTTGGATATGAATTTTTGGATTTTTGCGGTATTTTGAAACGTTTTCCGCATCCTATAACTGATTTTCTATCAGAACGTCATCATCAATCATCTTTGTCATCATTAGAATTTCAAAGTGTGGAACTTCCATTTTGTCCAGATTTATTGATTTGGAATCTAGAAAACCAGCGTCGCGGCCCTTTCCTTCTCGTCTAGAAAGTTTTAATTTTAGCGTATTCAATTTCGACGTCAAAAAGAAATTTCGAAAAAATTAAATTTTGACAAGATAACTTCTCGACAAAGTGAAATTTTGGCAAAGTATATTTTGGAGGTTGTTTTGATTTTTATTCCTGGCAAAAATGTCCGTTTTTACCATTAGACGCATGGCCTTAAAAGTAACCACTTACTTTGTTTGCATGCGAATTCGGGAAATCAAATTTATTTCCATAAAAGAATTCATCATACGCTCAAGTGGCCTTTGAAAGCATAAAATTTTGCATAGTTTAAAAGATTTTGTATGGTTTTTAAAACATAAGTATAAAACCTGCTGCTAGAATCTAGCTTTTTATACTTCAGACTTTTGCCGCCACCAATTGCAACGACCGATCACAAGCCCTGCCAATTTCCCGGCATCATTTCCGTTCCGCACCTCCTACTAAAATTAGCAATTTTGGCTGCGCAAATCGCGAAAATTGGTCACTTTCCGGTTGCTGTGCCGTGCCAAGCATGAAGTTTTTGAAATAATGGTGGCGGTTGCAATTTCAATAAAAGCTAACAAAAAACTCTTAATTTTTGGACTTTTCGAAAAAGAACTTTACGATACCTTTAAATCCTGGATATTCGTTTTCTAGCCATTTTCCAACCATTTGGGAAGGACAGCTGGCTCGGAAATTTCAGAATTTTGCAAAGCAATTCTTTTTGAAAATCCATCGGTCCCTTCAATCCAATTTTTCTTCCAGAAATGGTTCACGTTATCCCCCAAGGCTACAACGAGGATTTTCCGGGGGGTTGCAGAATTCCAGATTAATCCGCTACGCATCTTTGTCGTATTCTTCTTCGCTTGGTATTCTCCTCCTCCCCTTGCCCACCCTTTTGAATAGGCATATATGATGGCACACCGACTTTTTTGTTAGGCCAGAAATGGAAGGGAGGAGGAGGATGGGGGGGGCGCATCTAATGAAATCACGAGCCTTACTTGCGTGTCGTTTGCTGGGCGTCCGGTCACTACCCCGAAAAGTCACTACCCCGAAAGTCCCTACCCCGAAAGTCACTACCCCGAAAAATGATAGCATTGTTTTTCCCGGGAAAATCCAGTTTTCATGCGGTTTTCCTATGAAAATCAAGTAAATTATTTCGGGGTAGTGACTTTTCGGGGTAGTGACTTTTCGGGGTAATGACTTTTCGGGGTATTGACTTTTTGGGGTAGTGACTTTTCGGGGTAGTGACTTTTCGGGGTAGTGACTTTCGGGGTAGTGACTGTACCCCCGTTTGCTGTTATAAAGTATGATATTTTTGATTATGATGGTTATATTCTTGAAAATTAATGAAACTGTAGTAAATTCATCACAATCCTATTTAACAAAATGGCGATTACTCTATTTCCGCCCCTTCTGCCCAGGGAAAGCCTCAAAATGGCAACACATCGCAAAATGAAAGAAGAAGCCGCTCGCTTTCCACCCTCACGTCCGCCCAACCCTAACCGACCACCCTCGCCTCTTCTAAATTAAAAAAAGTTTCACGCCTGCACGATTTCTGAGGCCATCCTGGGCCGAGATGGCGTCGCGGCAGTCAGAGATATTTTTGAGAGGCTTCCGCCCGCTGAATGGCAATTTTCGCATTTTTTAAATTAGATGATCAGCGGGGATCTATGAAATTAAAGCAGCCAGATATGTCAAATAGGCCTTGGTATCGAAAGTTACCCATCTCTTTGTTTTCAGCACTTATTATTACAGATTCGTGGATTCGTAAATTAGATGGCGTGTATTCTGATGATCGGCGTTAATTTTGCGGATCATGAAATCGAGCATGAGCTCCATATTTATCCGATCCCCTCGTTGGAATAGCCATTGAGTCTACCTAGCCTTCTTCTCCTGCTCTCCTTCTCCTCCTTAGCCCAACTCCCGAAATGAGATGCATCTGGCGGAGGCTCATTAACGAAAGAAGGGCAGCCATTTAGCTCCAGAAAGCCTCAGGAATGGATTTAGACAATCTGTTAATCTTGTTAATTATATTCTACGATTTAGCGAGATTTTGAAGTCTTCAGTAGACAAAGACAGTAGAAAGGGCGCCGTTTGACGCCGAAGCCAACTTTTTGTTTTGTTTTTATTTCTCTTCAATCCTACTAGTCGAAGCCCTAACGTGTCAGATTTTGGATCGTGAATTCAAATGCGATAACTTGTTCGCCTCCACATTTGTCTGACTCACACTCATCACCCCTTTACATTTTTCATTTCGACGAGAAAGACCAAGTCTCGGATTTCGGGAAAAACGACCCTGACAAAGGAAAGTAATCATGCAAAAGCGCACAGTTCTTGCCCTCTTTCTAAGAAAGCCCATTCCGCTGAAATCCGCATCAAGAAAACGCAGATTTTACCGAAAATTTCGTTTCGGTATCGTTTTGCAATTGGTAAAAATAGCTCACTGAATTTTCCTGTTCCTCTATTCGCTCGTCCAGCTCGCACGTGCAAAAATTAATCCGGAAATCCTATCGACGTAGGTTCACTGTGTGCAAGTTTTCGGGTGCGTCGTAACGGAAGAGAACTGTGAAAGCTCCGTAACACATTTTTTGAATAGTTTATGCTTATTAGTAAACCATAAGAAATATCTAGGAAATGTTTGAAGTGAGAATTCTAACCTTTTTGGTCATTTTTCAGATATTTTGATGAAAACAACGCCCAAAATTCCATTTTCAAGAATTTTGTAATTTTTATGTGCTATTATGTCTAAAAACTGTTTAAAATGCTATAAAAAGGTTATATTACTCTTTGCTAAAGCGCCCTACAAGATTGTTGTAGAACAAAAATTGTTTTCCCCCCTCTAACAGTCCAATTCCTGTAAATCCAGGTGCGTGAAAATTGAGAAAATCTTGACTTCAAAAATCACAAAACCCCGAGAGATTCCTCCGCTACGTCCCGATACGCTTTCGCAACACCATCAGATAGAAGAACGAGGTATAATACGAAATTAATTGGGCCCCGAATCCCTTCCTCGGCGGCCAGAAAGACAAGGTCTGGGGGACTTACCTCAACACCGGATTATCTCCCCCAGTCCGCTTGTCTCGGATATAACCACAGCCCATCTTTGAGCCCAAAAAATACTTCATTCTTCGATTCATTCTTGGATTAGTCATCGCATCGATTGGAATTTTTAAGATTTACTTTAAGTAATTTGGGTAATACACATAGGCGATGTAGGTTTTTGGCCTGGAGATCACCTCCCTGAATTATGCAGATTAATTAGGCCGTTCGCACGCTACGTGGTCTCGTTTTCTTCTGTTTCTCGTTCTCTCTCTCTCTCTCTCTCTCTCGCTCTTTCTCTCTAATCCTCTTTGCGTTTGTGTTTCGATTTCATAATCTCCGTGTTCTCCCTCTTCTTCCAATTTCCAAAAACCCTTTAAAATTTGTAATTTGATATTTGCAGGTCCCCTCGGCGATGTCCTCTTCGGGTAAGGGCCACTACGGCTCGTCGCCGCCGATTCAGCGGATGACCCAATCGCGGGAATCATCCATGGAACACAATGACCGGTGCGTGAGAGAATTTTTGGGCCATGTCTGGAATATTGAATTCTATTTTTGCTGCATTGGTTACGACATTTTTTATTTTAATAATTTTTCTGGTTTGAATGCCATGGGCGTTAATCGGGCAATTCGTCCGAAAATTAATATAACTACGCCATTTTCCAGATACACCTTCGGCTACTCCTCCGAACTGGCTAATCACGAGAGCACCGTGTCGACCGCCAAACGCCTTCGCCAGCGGCTTCAACGACAGCAAAGTGGGCAATCTGGTTTGAACGACCAGTTGGCCTTCCAACACCTTTAGGTCTATCTGGACGTCGGTATACCGGAGAGAGTAGTGATGGGTCGTCGATCGTTGGGACGCCTACGGATACAGGTAAAATTAGCAGGAAGTGTTCAACACCAACCTGAACAAGCTACTTCTTAAAATCACCATTTTTTTTAATTTTTAGGTCGCTCCTTCACGTTCACCGCCGTCCACCGGAACCTGATCAAGGAAGATCGGAAGCCGTCGATGACGCAAAATTTGAGCGAGCAGATGCTGGAGGTATCACTTTATTACATTTTGAAAGAGAGAGGGTGAGAAGAAGCGAGAGAGAGAAACGGCGAGAAAAAAAAATCGTGTAAACCTTTTCTCAGGCAATTCACTATGAGGACATGACGATGGTTGAACGACTGCTGGTGGCGCACAGTATGAACAAGCCGCTGTCAACATCACCGTCAATAGGTGCGTATCGTAGCGTTTTTTGAGAGCCCACGAGATGGCACTAGAAATCACGCAACGGGTTATTTTTGGCTACAAAGTACACCAATTTTTCAGGGTCGACAAATACTCTCACCGAGTTGGCTCAAAGGAGACACGGGAATAAGGACCACCGGAGATCGAACGCCAGTAGCACTGTATCAACGCATTCAGGCGGGAAGTGAGTAGTTATGGCTAGCATTCTTTACAAATTTGAACTTACTAAATCATCATTTTTCAGATCCACTTGCGCCGTCTTGAACACCTTGCATATGGCCGTTGCGCATAAACAGAAGGTAAGCGAGGGGTGACAACGAGAGAGAGAGAGAGAGAGAGAGAGAGAGAGAGAGAGAGGAAGAGAGAGAGAGATAAAAGGAAAGAGCGAGACAACCAGTATGTGCGCAAATTTCAGGACATTGCCGAGCTGCTCCTCAAAAGTGGCTACGACCCGAACGCTACCGCGATGTGCCACTGTAAGGGAAATTGCACGGCAAGCGGGAATATTCCGCTAACCACGATTATACCAAGGTATAAAGTTCTAGAACAAATGAGATCAACCAATTCAGAACCCACTCGATGACTCCTGAAATCTGCTCAATTTGCACTCAACTTCGAGCTGTTACCATCATCGATCAAACACCGCTTGGAGTGGCGGTTCGGGTGCAGAGTGCTGAACTCATTGCGCTGTTGATAGCATACGGAGCCGATGTGAACTTGGGTAGGCAATATCTACTATTTCACTCTCTCCCTCTCTTGCTCTCTCCAGCTAAAAAAAAATACATCATTTGAGGTGACGAGGACGGCAACACGCCACTGCTCCTTGCGGCAAGGGATTCGCCTCTGAACTGGACGTGTCTGCATACACTGATTTTCTTCGGGGCTCAGTAAGTATAATTTTTTCTAAGCTATCTTGCTCTCTCTTTGCCTTTTCTCGGTCTCGCTCTCTCTCTCTCTCTTTTTCTCTCTCAAAGAAACTATTTTTAGAATCGAGAAGAAAAACATGCGTGGTATCTGCCCACTCGATCTGGCTCCAGAGTTAAGAAGTCTACAGCAAACTTGTGTTGAGGAATTGTTCAAGGTATTTGTTTAATTGCATAATTAAACCCTTGTTTTCTTCTGTTCCTTGTTTTTCATGTGGATATTGAAAATCTAGAAAAAACGATTTTTAGGTGGCTTGCTCGGGGCAGGAAAAGGATCATAAGGGCCTCGGCTTTGCGACCCCGAAATCGCTACATAATCATCGGCTTCAAGTCGACAACGGTAGGTCGCCATTTTCTACTTTTTCTCCCAGCGGGCTCTCTCTTATTCTCGCTTTTATCCTTCCACCTACTATCCTGCTTTTACAGTATCCCAGGGCGGCTCGTTGAGCAAGGCACCTCTATCGCCAAGACCGTCTGCAGCGCCCTCGGTTTCGACCTGTTCTTTACTAGGTATATTTTGCTATTAGCCTCGTATCATCATTGTTAATGCTTCTTTCAAACGCATAAAATATGTATTCAGAGACAATGTCCGCAAAAGAATACGCCAGACGGAAATCACTCGTGTCGCTACAGCTTCAGCGGAAGAACCGAGGCACCAAGGATAATCGAGATCTGGCGGCAGCTGCTAGGAGATGCTTTGCGCATCATCGAAGTAAGTGGATAGTATTAGCAGCAAATTGTTTATTAATGACGACTTACCTTTTCCGAAATGTTCCTTTAGACGCCCTGGATCCCGTCATTGACAACGTCAGTTGGGAACAGGCTTGGGAACTCCTGAAAAAGATGGCTGCAAACCCCGAGTGCTTGGAAGTGATTCAGGTATGCCATATCTGTACCAACGCGATTTAACATATCATTTTATAGAATTCGCTCATCAAATGTGCCAAAGATTTGGAGAACGTTGCTCAAAATGTCGACACCGAGGCCTTCGAATCGCACCTGGGTGGACTTTTGCACAAGTTGATATTGGTTGGTTAGAGAAGGAGAGAATGAGAGAGAGAGAGAGTGAGAGAGAGAAAGCGAGAGAAAAACAGAGAGAGAAAACCATTTCCAGACCGCAATCGAGTTTTACGACGCTGCCACCCCGACCTACCGTAAGACTCGAAAACAGCAGCTCATCGGAATCCTCTCTTCACTCGCCAAGTTCTGCTTCCAGTTCGTGCAAGTGACGGGAACCGTGCGGCAGTTCTCAGCGTTGAGTACGCTTAACAAGGTGAGATAAACGCTGTACTTGTAGAATAACTCAGAAAAGCAGCGGTAATTGGTCGCCTCCACCGAAATTTACCCTTAAAATCAATGCAGTTGAAAAATGCCATATCCAATTTCAGATCATCGACACCGGCATGGTGTACGAGCTTTTCACGCAACCCGACCTTGCCTTCATGTCATCAAAATTGCTCAACCGAACTCACGCCTTCGATTCCGCAGCACCGGAGAGCCCTATGGGTACGGCAATGAGGCTGATGTTACTGTACTCTGCGGATTTTGGTGCTTTCGTGTTGAGATCTGCTTTGATATAATTGTAATCAATATTTTTTAGAAAGTCCCTTCATGTCCCAAGGCGATCAGTGCTCCACGGTAGACCATGTTTACATCTACCCCATGCGAGACGGTGCCGTTTCCCCGAATCCGTCATCCATCCCACCAGATGCCTTGATTCTGGCGTTTCAGGATGCGGATCCTAGTCAAGGTCAGCAGGATCTTCAAGAAAATTCTGGTTAAAGCTATTTGATTGTACTTTAAAAGTATTGATTTTGATCGTATTTTAAAGTATAAAACCTAGTATTTTAAAGCCTTTTGAAAACGGTAGGAAACATCCAGAATCGATCAGCAGGTTTTCACCTATTTTTAATCAAAAAAATTATACCATTCTCTTTCAGTCCTAATGTGCCTTCACAACGCGATGACGCTCGGCAAACGTGAGGCGGGGATGCGCTCGGTGTGCAGCCCAGCTCATCGATGGAGATACTGTAGTCACTGTACTCAGGTAAAGGATTTATTTTTGAACATCTAGGTGTATTTTAGATCCTAATCGCACGTCTCTTGTTGTTTCTCACCCACATGCTCACCTTTCGTCAAAGACTCAGCTATCGGAAGAACTTGAAGAATTTGTTGCAATTGTTGGAACCGACTTTGGAACCGGTTGGTAGAAGAGAGAAAGAGAGAGAGAGAGAGAGAGAGAGAGACAGAGAGAGAGCCGGAGGTACATACCATTTTTTTAGCAACTCCTCTGCATCCTGCTCCAAGTTATGGCATTGGTAGCTCTCGATTCCTCAACCCACACTGTCCTAATGGACCTACAAATTGATGATTGTCTCATGCAAATGTTGCTGCCTTCTAATGACTGGTTCGTTCCCAAAACCCTTCTAAAGCTCAATATCCAATTGCTAGGTACTACACAAATCACTCGACAAAATTTGGGCACTTCGTAAAGTACCATGCGGCCAGGATTCTAATTTATGTCGGGCTGGGCGAACGGGTCGGAAGTCGGGTCAACATTTTTCAAATGCTAGGTGAGTATAGTTTTGCTTTCAAGAGAAAGAGAGAGAGAGGGAGAGAGAGCGAGCGAGAGAAAGAGAAAGCGAGTGAGTGAGAGAGCAAGCGATAATCAGATAAACATGAAACCACTTTTAGATAATGACGAGAAATCGGATAAAGACGGGAAGGACTGTAGCCTGAAGGACTTGAAGGCCAGCAAATCGAACTATCCAATTGAGGACGAGTATATTTGTCATACGTGCGCTACGCCAAGGTAATTCTTGAATTCTAGGTCTTTATCGCTTATCTCTGTCTTACTAATAATTTTTGCATATTAGAAGCATGGCAACGTTCAGCCGAAATGCGATGAGCGTCGAGGGGTTTATGCTGAAATTGTTGCATGAAGTTACTGAGGTTAAATAATCTTAAAATATCGATATGAGATGGCTTTAGCTTTCTAAAAATTGCCCTGCTTTATCTGCTGCTCAACCCATCAAGGAAGAAGAGGTGAAGGCCGACTCCCCGCCTCCAGAATTGGATGCTACACGGCACACCTCTGTTTCGCCGGTAAGGTCCAGAGCAAGAAAGAGCGAGGCGGAGAGAGAGAGAGAGAGAGAGCGAGAGAGAGAGATAAAGAATGAGAAATAGAGGGAGAGAGAGAGAGAGAGAGAGAGAGAGAGAGAGAGAAAGATGAATTCCAGCCATATTGCCGACATTCGAATTGCCGACAGCCAAGTTGCCGACAGCCAAGTTGCCGACAAGCCAAATTGCCGACAACCGAGTTGCCGACAGCCAAGTTGCCGACAGGCCAAGTTGCCGACCGCCAAGTTGCCGACAGGCCAAATTGCCGACAGCCGAATTGCCGACATATTCGTGAATTTAAGTCCAAGTCTAAGCTTTGGTATATTTGAGTAGCATGACTGTTTAACATGCCAAATTTGGGTAGGGTCTGGCCGCGTGACAAAACCGAACCCGGAACGTTTGCTTGGTGCTAGCGCTTTAGACCACTAGACCACGAGACAGACAGTGAAGGGGAAGCGGAGAAGGTATATGAAGCTTCCGGAGAAGAGCCCGCAGGCTACCGTCTCGTATGTTAATTGTGCTTTGAATCTACCGGAAATTCTCCCGGATATGAATGTCTACATAAAATTTCCATTCTAGCCCCAAATACTATCTTTTGTATAATCTGTCGGCAATTTGGCTGTCGGCAATATGGCTGTCGGCAACTTGGCTTGTCGGCAACTTGGCTGTCGGCAACTTGGCTCGTCGGCAACTTGGCTGTCGGCAACTTGGCTTGTCGGCAATTTGGCTGTCGGCAACTTGGCTGTCGGCAATTTGAATGTCGGCAATTTGGCGATTTCCCGAGAAAGATGAATGAAAAAGCTCATAAACCAGTTCCAGCTCGTCGAAGCCCGCGAAGCGGCACACGAGAAGCTGATGAACAAGACAACCTCATTTCAACTCATTTTCTCCCTAGAATCACTTGAGGCGCATTTATGCAAATTGGGGCTGGTGTTGGACAATGTTCTTCTACTCCGACTCTTAATGCACAAGCTCTCCTGGGACCTTGGGCTGGTGGCGAAGAAGAAGGCGTTGCCAAAGCTGAAGGTAAGTATCGTCGAGAAAGGGTGAGAGAGAGAGAGAGAGAGAGAAAGAAAGAGAGAGAAGAGCGCGTGAGAAAAGTAAAAAAAAATTAGTTTTCTCGATTCCAGGCCATCGACTCGATGCCGCACAAGGCGATCACCGACCCCAGAGCAACATCGAGCTTGAGTTTGGGGGCAACCACGTATGCAATTTTGCTAGAGCATTCAAAAGTTCTTCAGTAGCCTCGTCAAGTCATCACAGTCATTCGACCGTCGTGACCAGCTGAGCAAGAAGGATAAGGACCGGAATTTTCTGCGTGTACATCAGGGTTCGAGGTCTTCGAATAAGAGAGTGAAGATCCGGAGATCCAGGTGAACAATTCAGAAAATTTAAATTCTTCTGCTTCAGTTCGGTCGAGATCATCCGTCCGAAACGGTTCAGCTCTGGGGCAAAGGATTTGAAGGATAAGGAAAGGAGGAGGAGGTAATCCTTATTACATTTTAGCTTCGACGTAACCCTGGCACGGCACGAAGCTTTTCCTTGTTTTAACTAGCTTGAAATCAGGCCGCTAAAATGATTATTTTTCAAAAATTGTTTTGAAGAGCTGTTTCATCAGTGAGATCAGTGTTTCATCAGTGTTTCATCAGTGTTTCATCAGTGACCATTCAATAGGGAAAATTTTAGGCTCGGCACCGATACCAGTAGCGGTTCAAATCGCTCGAAAAAGACGACATCGTCAAGTTCTTCGGTTCAGAAGCATCTTCCAAAATACATTCAATCGTTGTTTCGTGGAAGGATGGGAACCGATCCGTGCAAGCGCCATACAAGGAGTACGAATTTTCCGAATTATACTAGCGTTTCCCGTGCGGCGTTTCCTCCATTTTTAATTTCATGAGTCCCTTCTCGATTTTTTGTTTCTGCTAAATTACCGGCATATCCTCTTTTTTTAGGAGACTCCAGCCCCGAGTCTCCTTCCTCCGGCTCGGATCCGGTGCTCGAGTTCACCAAGAAACTCCAGAATTACCCGCCCACGAAACGCGAGGAGATGAAGCAGGCCTACCGCACCAGGTATCATTAATGGATGGTCCAGTCAGCGTCTAGTTTTCGTCAACAACAAGACTCATCTGCCGACAGTGCCCCGTCACAGCAAGCTGGCAAAGGAGCTAGGCCGATACCATACACATATCTGCCGGATGTGGAAGTGTCTGGTGCAAGTCCACCTAGGTGGGTCGAGAGAGAGAAAGAAAGGGAGAAAGCAGGAGAGAGAGAGAGAGAGAGAGAGAGAGAGAGAGAGAGAGGGAGAGAGAGTATAAACTATTAGGATACCTTGGGCTATAAATTACCGGTATTTTTAGAACCCCATTAAACGGCTCTAAAGATGAAGGAACCTCGCCGCCAGCCCTCTACGACCGCCGGCCAAGCAGCCCACTAGTCAGTGTCATGGTAGCTCTCTACTTCTGTCTCTTTAATTCTAATATTTCGACAATTTTTAATACACTAACAATACCTCTGCAAAGGTGAAACGAGCCCAACTGTTTCAGGCGATCCCCGGCGTCCCTCAAATCGAAATCCGTCGCCCCTCGGCCATGTCCCATTTCGAGTTTGGCTACTTTGTCAACTCGCCAGATCGGTTTGTTTCAATTTTGAATAAGATTATATAGATTTGTCATCTTTTCGGTGTAGTTTTATAGCGTTGTTCATTCCTTGATTCATTCGAATTTGTCTTTTACAGCCCCTAAATAACAACCATTTTTAGTAGCGGCAGTGAAGCCTCCGACTGCGCCCCACTTCTGGTGGCCAGCAACCCCGCCAGCAATGCTGATGGCAGTAGGAAAGATTCGGAAGGTTAGAAATTTCATGAACTTCACGAACAAGAAACTGTTTGTATTCGGATCCCAAAAACAATCTGCATTTTAGAATCCTCGATGGGTGACTGGTCCTCCCGCGCCTCGTCCGTCATCTCGCACAGAAGCTCGCGCTCCTCGGCTGGGTTTGGGTTTATTTTTCGAGAAGAATTTCGCACTTCTTCTCCCAGATCCCTGTCTTTGCTACTCTAAAAATCAAAAATATACAAAATACAAATTAGTAGCGTTAGAAACAGAAAAATCGCGCACTTGTTGTAAAAATTAAATTTCGAGAATGAAGATTGCTCAAAACATTGGTGGAAAAATTATTTCAAAAAGAATATTTCTTAGAAAAACATCAATTCTAGTATTTACAAGTCATGGGAAACTTATATCGACGAATTGAGAGCGTATTTTGCCTTGAAAAACAACGCGTAGGGTGCTAAAAATAGATTAAAAAACATAAATCTGTGTTCTGCTCCGGATTACCGTAATCCCATCGAAAAACCTCCGGAAACTTGCTCATTTGTTGCGCAAAACGTCGAGTCACACACGCGGTCACCAAAACACAATACGAGTATCGTAGTTTTCCGCCAAACGGGATTACGGCAAACCACGGAGGTTCTTGATTTCAGCGCCGGAACGAGTATCGCCTCGGACAACTCGGGGCCGTTTCTCTTCAGTTTTGTCATACGGTAACTATCGATACCGGATTTCTAGATAGAATAATTTTTGAAGAAAACGAGCCTCAACGATTGGGACTCGGATTCCGTTACCAAAGCGCGTTGGCTCCAGGACTAGCGGAGACTCTTTGAGGGTACCGGATCGAGAGGTAAAACTATTATATTATTACGTTTTTACATTTGCCTTTATTATACTTTTTGGTGCTGAATACGTATTCAGTATCAAAACGTACTGGAACTCGTACTAACACGGAACTTTTCAGAGCCCGTTGCTGCTGAGTATGGGCGAGATGAACCCGGATTTTCAATGCGTGCGGCAGCTGGTCGTTACTTTGCTGAATGTGCATACAAAAGTAAGTTTTAACGGACTTGTTGATCTGTAAATATCTACGCATTAATATTGTCAACGTTTTTACAGGTTTAAAATTTTTGAAAATTTCCTGACGAACCCTTTTAGGAAAACGACAATGTAATGGCAACCATGAAGGAGTGTTCCCAAGTTCTGCGCCAAATTCTGAACTCACCCCAGCATCCGACGGTCAAGAACTGGTACAATATTCATTATTTTTATATCTAATGCCATTTCAGGTGCGCAGACATCATCCAGGTCGTTTCCGCTTCGGTGGAGCACATGGAAACGCAAGCCAACGAAGCGCAAAGCGACGCGATTAATGACGAGTATTTGGAGGTCAGATAATTTAATTATAACGACTCATAAATAGTTATTAAATACCAATTATTAGCGAAATAAACAAAATACTACGTTACTAATTTATTAAGCTTATTCGAATTTAGGTCCAAGATCAAGTGATCTCCGGCGGACTCCCCTGCCCGAAAGAAGAAGCAGCCTACTTGGCAGCTATTCAACTTTGCGTAGAAGAGCAGTGGCCGCACAATAGGCGAACTCAGACCATCCGACGTCATCTGTTGAAGGGCCAATTTGGGAGGATCCGAGACTTGGCGCTCAAGATCATGATCACTCCCTGGGAAGTGGATCAGACGTTGTATTGTACACCGCCAAGGGCTTCGGACGCAAATCGGTAAGGCGGAGGCCACAGAAACGTAGAGCGAGAGAGAGAGAGAGAGAGAGAGAGAGAGTGGGGGAGAGAATGAGAGAACAAGAGAAGGTTTCTAACGTTTGACGCGTTTTAGAAGTGAAGTAGAAGGCGGTGCAGCAGTTGTGATGCGGAAAACGACACACGCCTCAAGGGTCAACAGCGATGATGTGAATCGACGCGGCTTTTTGCTACGGTGGTTGTCACGCTATAAGAATTATTTAACAGTATTTAGCTGTATCCCTCACAGCGATACTCGGATGAGCGATGAACTCCAGGCTCAATGCTTACCTATGGATTTGAGGGGTGATAGGAGGACGCTGAAGTTGGTTCGGGTAAGTAATACCCTTAACCGGAAGCTAACCTACCTTTAATGATCATTCCTGGATCTTTGCATGATAAATAATCCTTAAATTGTTAGATTTGATTAGTTAGTTATCGGACTTACGCTTCAAGACACATTCCAGGACCGAAAGCGGAAACTCTTCCACTCGCAAGTCTACGAGAGTGAGGTCGGCATGAAAAAGCTGTACATCCAAGTAAGCAGCCGAGACCTTAGGGAATAAGGCCAGTTCTTCTCTTTATAACCCATATTTTAGATCGCCAAAAAGCTACCCTCTTACGGCTGTAAAGTTTTTCAAGTGAAAGAGGTACTCCACGGACGAACCCTGCGAAAGGTAGGGTGCTTGTTAAAATTCACACCCTGCATCGTTTTAAATTTCACGCTTAATGGTCGCGATTTAGACCCTTCGCCTCCTCTGCCTCAGCTCGACCTCACTTTGTCTCCTCGACGGGATCAGCAAGCTCGTGCTCAAACGACAAAACGCGAGCACCCTACAACAATGGCGAGTTGGTGGCGGTGTCTCGAAGCACCAGATTCTTCTCGAATTCCGCGGAAATAAGTGGCAGTTGATTGGTACGTTTTTGGAAGTTGTTTTAAAGCAGCGCGTGCTGGCACACGGACTAGGCAACTCTAAAAAATGTGACCGTAACGCGTGAAAAATATAGCTAATCATCAAAGAATAACGAGATGGTAATTTAGCGCCCTCCTTCAACTCGCTGAAGTCGATATCCATGACCTTGTGGGAGATCCAGCAGAATCGAGTCAGCAACTCGATCCAGAAGTCTTTGAATGGGCATCGTGGAAGCGTGATTGCGAGTAGCAGTGAGTTTTCTCTCTCTCGCTCTCTCTCTTCCTCTCTCTCTCCCTTATCTCTCGCTCTTTCTCACTTCACTTCTCTCCTTTTCAGGCAGCTCCCGCTCCGGCTCAACAATCTCGCGACTTTCCACGATTCTGGCCGGGAATTTTTCGCTAGAGCCCGTCACGCTCTTCCGACTTGAGCTCGAGCGACTTCAGTATATTTTGCATTTTCCGGAGGAAGTGGCTTACCAGGTAGTTTTGGTATAGGATTATTACTCTTACTATTGCCTTCAGCTCTCCCACACCGAGTACCAGCTCTTCTACGGTATCCAGCCAATGGACTACGTTCGATACGTAATTTGTGATTTGACTGGCGTTGGAGTGCTCGAGAACTCGAGTCCTGTTAGGAGTCTGGTGAAGCGGTTGAGCGAGGTGGCGCCCCTTTTAAGCGTTTTCAAAGCTTATGCTTTAGGTCTCCTCATGGATCACGCACGTCATCATCTCCCAGCCTACACACGATGATCGGAAAATCGCACTCGCTTCGATATTGAGAATTATTGAGACGTGCTGGCAGATTGGTAAGAGGAGAAAGAGAGAGACAGAGAGAGAGAGAGAGAGAGAGAGAGAGAGAGAGAGAAAGAAAGAGAGAGAGAGAGAGAGAGAGAGAGAGAGAGAGAGAGAGATGGAGAGAAAGAGTGATACAGAGATAGAGAGAGAGACAAAAAAAGAAAGATAAAGATAAAGAATTAGAAATATCCTGTTTAGGCAACTTCAACGGTGCCATCGAACTTCTCACCGGGCTGAACAACGAGAAGCTGGGCCCGTTCTGGTTAAGCTTGAGGCCAGACGAAAAGCAGAAGTTCGAGGAGGTGAATTTTTTGATACTTCATTCGAAACAGCTGAAAGTTTATTTCTTGCCAGATTTTGGAGGTTTTTGGAGCTTACCAAGCAGAAAAACACAGAATCAGAAAGTCTATGTTTAAGGCATTGCAAACTTAGTTTTTAGGCACTTCGCTTGTTTCCAATTTTCCAATCATTTTCAAATTATTTTTAGTTCTGCGAAATCCTGCTCCCCGACAAGAACAAGGGAAACCCGTCGAAAAAGTATATTGCTGCGATGCAACGCGCTCTGCGGATGCCACAATGTCGGACGATCCCGTTCTTTGGAATGTTTTTAAAGTACGTTCAAACCATTTTTTTTATTGTTTTATATGTTATTAACCTGCCTATTTTTTAGTATTACAACTATTAAGCATTGCTATTTACTGAATACATTCAGGGATCTCTACGCCATCAGCAGTGAAATGTCGCACATCGTACTGATCGGTCATGAGGGGAACAAGGAGCGGTTGGAGGTAAAAAAATAGCTGAATAAGCTTTGTCACTTTTACAACTAAATTTTTTATAAATGCAAATTGACACGTTAATACTCCATTTAATTAAAAACACTTTAGTTCGTCAACGACCCAAACGGAGAGGACCATTTCTCGTCAAAAATTGGGGTCGGTGGGCTGCTCAATGCAGACAAAATCAACCTTGTGGCAATCATTCTGGACAACATGGAGCTGTTCCACCGGCACAGGTGGGTAAAATCTTGGTTGCAAGCTATGAAACTCTACTTAAAAATACAAACAAAAATACTGCTCCTTATGCATTAATTTCAGCCGAAACATGATGACCTACCTGGAAGACGCGTGTCAAACCGGGAAACCAGAAGTGCAGCTCGAGATCAAAGGTATTGAATTCGACGTCATACGGAAACTAGGTCATCATTGAGGCTACGAACCAATTATTGCCGTCAACGGATCTTGCCATGGAGTCACTATGATACCTTTGGATACACAGAAATTCGACCTCGACATCATTCAGAGGCTGCAACATGGGACCACGGTAGGTAGAGAGCCAGAGAGAGAGAGAGAGAGAGAGAGAGAGAGAGAGAGAGAGAGAGAGAGAGAGAGAGAGAAAGCGGGATAGAATGACGAAATCTTGTTGCTCTCAATTAACCTAAATTTAGGTAATCCACTACGATGCCGACTCCGGACGCTCCGTTCTGTGCGTTTTGAGGTTGGACCCATCTTGCGGCATGCTACAGTGGAACAAAGTCAATGGAAATATAAATAGGGATAGCTTCAAGGCCAAGGTAAATTAAGGTACCTAACCACACATTTTTTTGTTTTTAGGATCAATTCAGTTCCGCGTTGCCCAACGTCCAGGCCTCAAATCCGATCGAAGCGGCGAGGTCGCCTCAACCGCTTGGACCTAGGCTCTCAGGTACGACTCGCTTGCTCTCTCTCTCTCTCTCTCGCTCTCTCTCTCTCCCGCCTCAATTACCATTTTTAGATGAAGGTGAGCTCCGCCTCTCCACTGTCAAAGGCATCGAGCCAATGGACAGCTACGGTGTGGACGTTGAAGCCATCTACCGAAGACACTCGTGTGAGGAGATGTCGGTACCAGTGCAGTGCTGGAAGGTACGGTATCTTGACGCCCGCCTAGCTTAACTACTTCTGACCCTGCCATACACGTGCTTCCTATAATAATCTACAAAAATGCTACTTCTGGGTCTAAAGCTATCACTCTTGATTGTTGTAGGTATCCTACGGACATGTACTCCCCGAGAACGAGTGCCTCTCCTTTCTGGCCCCACAACATGTCGCGCAGTACTGGATTCATGGTCTCCAGAAGGTAGATTAAGCCAGTTAACACCACATTTAAATGCCCTAGGTGGTAGATGCACTCCATGTCCAACAGAAAAATCCAGATCGTCGCATGATGTGGCTCAAGAATCTGTATCTACAGCTTTATCGGGTAGGCGGAGCGTGATAGAGTGAGGAAGCGAGAAAGAGAGGGATTGACGGAGCGAGAGAGATAGAAAGAGTACCACAGACGCAGAGAGAGAGAGTGAGAGAGAAAGAGAGAGAGAGAGAGAGATGAGAGAGAGAGAGAGAAAGAGAAAGAGAGAGAGAGAGCGGGAGAATCGACTTTCTGCTTCAGGAAAGCCAGCTCGACGCGGAAGCTACGCAACGCGCGATGGGCCCACGGCCTTTCGATGCGCTACAAGCTTTTGGCAGCAGAGTCGAGAAGTGGCCGGGTTACGGTAGGGATATCGCTACTTAGAAAACTGTATTTTAGTCCCTGGAATCCCGCAAAACACTCCCTGCACTGGTCGTGCTGAGAATTCGAACTCGAGCAGCGACCTGGGAGGAGCCAGGAATCGTCTGATAAACTTCAAGAACGCGATGAAGATCAAGCTGCGCGGAACCTCGAGGGATGGGAGTCGCTCTCAGAGCCCACAACCGCAGAGTCCATTGGTAGGTTTTGGGCATGCCTGTTTGGGTTTTTGGAGGTTAAAGCTGTTCGAGCTGATTTTTGGGAGTCACATTTTCGATTAATATGAAATGAATCTTTAGGGTTTTGACTGATAAGAGAAAAGTTAAGATCCCAATAAAAATCCAGTACGTCTAAAATTACCTTTTTCAGGTTCGGCCCCCTTCCATCAAGTCCCAAATGTCGTGCCAATCCGGTCCGGCGGGCCCCAATTCCCCTGGCTACTACTTGAAACCAAGGGGAGAGACGGCGTTGAGTGATAATGGTATGTTTCAAGACACTTTTGTAACTTGGATATTCAAGTGCCTTTTATTACTTTTTACAAAAAATTTTTGACGATTTTTTTAATTACCGTTGTATATGCTTTTAAGCCGACCTCGACAGTCTCTACACCCCGCGAAGCCGAACGCCTACAAGCTCTTCGCATGGAGGTAAGGAAACTCGAAAAATAACTTATACGGATTGCATGCATGATTCTCAAGTCGAATCTAAAATTAGTAGAACGTTTGTTTAATTAGGTTCCTTCTTCGCCGGAATCGATGGGATCTCTGCGAGGAGCCGAACCCCAACCAGCTACAGTCATGGCGGTAGATTTCATTTCCTTATTTACAGCCGAATTTTATGCTATATTTGTAGTTTTTTTCTTAAAACTATATTTTGAAACTTCTCATCCCAAATTTCAGGTCGTTCCGTCGGCGGCCGATCGACAAAATCGTGGCGGTCACGCGGTGGCGAAACACCAAACTCGGGCAGCATCTCCAGCAGCGGACAGGTGTGTTTTTGACGGGGTTTCGGCGATGATAAGCCGCTGATTCGGCCATGTTTAGGTGACACTTAATGGGTTGTATAACAGGGGGCATTAGAGTTTGCTGGTAAATAGTTCAGTCAAATGCCCCGGATGAAATAAACAGCTTGGTGGTGTCCGGGGTTCAGACGTGGTGCTCAGGCCCTAGGCCTCCTTTTCAAGGTTGTTCTACACCTGACCATGTTTAAATAAAATCAAGCCGTGGTGTCACGGATTTATCACACTCGCCCTCAATTTATTCCTCTATTTTTCTCAGGCTTTTTTATGTCCTTATGCTCGGTCTGCTGCCCTCGATCTCGAATTTTCTGCTCTCTATCACTAGCTTCAGCTCATGCTCATGCTCTCATTCTTTCTCTCATTTATTCCCTATCCCACACACTTTTTCTCCCTCTCTCGCGCTCTCTCGCGCTCTCTAGCGCCCTCTCTCTATCACCCTACGTCTCTATCGCTCTGGTTGTCTCTCGCTTTCTCTCACGCTCTCACTCCCAAATTTTTCCTACAAAAATTATTCTAACCCGATTTCAAGATCAAATATTTGAGAGCTCATAGGTCCCCCTGGGGTCACTGGCAATAAATGAGCAACGCCTTGAGATAACAATGCTTCCAGCTTGTTCAGCCCCTCATTTTATGCCTTGTCTAGCAGCCTGGCAAAAACGCATGGGTTTTTGATTTTTTAACGTCTCCGGGGGCGAAAGTCGACCTATTAGCGAATTAGTTAATTTGTATGATTTCAATTCAAAATTAAAAAGGCCATTTTTACCATTTTTGTGCGGTCTCCAAGAATTTTCAACCTTAAACGGCATGAATCTGAATGTCTTCTAGTGATTTATTCAGCATTTTTGGTTTTCATTTGGTTTTTGGTTTTTTCATTCATTTAGTTTATTATTAGTAATCTTTAGTAGTTATTAGTACTTAGTAATTTCTGAAAGTTATTCAGGTTTACAGCCCGAGTCTAATTAGCCCCCAACAAGCCCCTCTAAATTCCTCCAGTAACCGTTATTAGGGTGTCTCCAGGATTCTCGAATTAGGTCAATTTCCGTCGCACAACCGTTTATCGTAACTCATAAAATTATCACAATTTTTCTCGTGGTCTGCAACTTTTTTGGCGCGTCGTCAACGGGCAATAGCCACCGCCCGGCCGGAATTTAATGACCCCAAGAAGCGATGAGAAGTGGTATGGAGAGGGGAAGCTATTTCTGGAAAATTGCGCTCCGCGAAATTTCTAATGGCCAGTCAACGCCCCACGTGCTGGGTTGATTTCTAGACTTTTAAACTTCACCTGGTTTGCAGGGTTTTGTGCAGGGATTTGAAAAGCATAAATCACTTACTTCCTTACCTCTGTGCAGAATGACACGTTCATTTAGTTTTAGTTATTCTCCAAAGTAAGTGTCAAGTCCGCCCCCCCCGGTCTCAAATTATTGTATCTAGGTCTCCGGTCGTGTTACAACACTCTACAGTATACCAAAATATTTGCCGTAGACCGATTAATCTGCATACCTTGCATTTAAATCGAAAAACAGGAAAAAGAAATAAAAACCACAAAAGCGGTAACGTTCAAAATTCAGCTGGGCGAGGTAAACTAGACTTTAGACTTTAGCTTTCGTACAAACCGAACATTTTGAATTTTTGGATTACCTTTTTTGATCCTCGGGCGTAATTTTCTAAAACAGACGGAAACGGAAGTGATGCACACTAATTTGCTCTATTGTCTTACGATCACGAGAAATCCGAAATTCACGGTTGAATTCACGTTTCTAGGCGTAGCTTTCAGTTTTGGCTTTTTGACTGGAGCCCTTTCATACGTAGGTTGCTTCAAAAAAATTTCTGTGCTGCTAAAGTTTCCACAGAACTCGCTGCTGGCTACCCTTAATTCGGATATGTCAACGGAGCAAAATTCTAAGTTTTTAGATGATTCAAAAGTCTCTTCCATGTTTTCATGGCTATTTTGCAGTTTTTTAGTGGAATTAGATTTGCTTTTTTACCAACATTATTTCCCAAAAAAGCACGGTGAGGTCCTTGTAGAATTTTTAAGTTTTGTGGTTTCTATTTTGCTGCTGATCGCTGTTGCTCCACCACTCCGACTTGCTTTTTCCTTGTTTTCCCCCCAAATCGCCCCCGACTTGACGTGCCGTTGCAGATCGTTGCGGGACCCGGGCCTTGCGGTCCATTTCCCTGTTACTTGGTTACAAGCGGAACACACGAATCGGGTCCAAATTCCGCCCGGCGACCCAGAAGTGGATATCTGGAGAAGACCGCTTTCACGGGCCCATAGATTATCGTGAAAGGGCACAAGCGGCGAGAGAGACAGAGAGAGAGAGAGAGAGAGAGAGAGAGAGAGAGAGCGAGCGAACCGCTGAAAAACGGGCCAGCCCCTAAATCCTGGTGTGTCCATCTACGCCGATTGGATCGTGGCCCTAATTTGAATCGCTGTGGGCCCGGCTTCTCTTCTCGTTGAGGGGAGAGGAGGGCCACTATGTGTCAGTCACACGCTTATGCATTCCGTCCACCACCTCACACGCGCTTTTTCTAAGGCAAGTTGCGGGGAGGTCGAGGTTTAGAAAGTAAAGAATGGTATAAAAACAGTTTCACGCTTTCCATCTCTATTAAATGAGAATTTTCGTTAAAACCACACTCGGCATTTTGGGAATTGTGGTATCCGTGGTGCCTGTCTTCTACCTTTTTCCAGTGATCCTACGAAAGATCCCAAGCCTATCGTAGACGAGCCATTAATGCGCATACCTGGGGGTAGGGCCTGTCAAGCCTTTCGATGGCCAACAATGCCCAAAATAAAATTTATACTCGATTTCCGCTTAAACTACACCTTGTATAGGATACGGAAGAAACTTTAGAATATTTTTAAATATGATAAATTTCTTAACTTATTTTCCAGATCTCGAGCCTCAATGGACCCTCCGGCAAGGAATACCAGGAGAAACCCCTCTCCCTGCTCGAGTTCACCGAGCTGTTCAGGCTGTTCAACACCCGAATGCGAAAGGATCTCAAGTAAGCCTCCCTCTTATACCTTATTAACTTTATTTCTGCGTTTTGACAAGGCTTTCCGCCCTAAACATTTTTCTAAAATTAGCTATTTAGAATTACGAACTGCAACGTTTTTTAATATTTGAATATCAGATTTGTAGACTTAATGTTGCAGAATTACCAAATTTTTCATGCTTTCGCAATGTTTTTTATTATATTTTTCGAGTATTTTTACTGTTTTTTTTTTGTTTTGCTGACTCAATTAGATCGCGATCAAATTCCAATTCACTCCTGACTTGTATGGCCGTCTCCTCTCTCTTGCTTTTCTCTCTCTTTCGCTTTCTCTCTCGCTCTCTTTCTCTCTCTAACTCTGAGATCCGGCTCAACTGATCAACTTGTCATCGCCACTCCCATAACCGCGTAACCGGGCAAAAAGAGCTCGCGTAGTGATGACGTCTCCATCTCCCTGCAGTCAGCCTAATTATTTGTGTTTCCGCCTAATCACCAAAGGGGGCAGGGAGGTCGTAAAATTACGTACAACCCTCATAACAAATCCATTCCGTGATCAAAGGCGGGGGCCGGGATAGGAGCTGTAGTTTACTCCAAAAAGCTAGGGCATTAAAGGAGTAAGGAAGCGTAAACGGATGCTTTTTAGCGACTGGGTAAAGAGAGTTACGCGTGTAAACTATATACGATCCGAATAAGCGATTGCTGTCCGATTTTTGCTACAACGCCGCTGTCATGATAGCTCTAAATTGCCTTGTTGGCGCCTTTTGGAATGGAGTCTAGCTTTCAATCGTCGATTTTGATAGACTTTCTCGTCCCTTTATGGAGTCAAAAGTTGAGGTAAAGCCTTCCGTTTCAGGGACGTTTTCCACGACATCGTCCAATCCACCCCAGCCCACTCACATGCTCCGAAGAGCGCACGTGACCGAGGATCGCCGCGAATGCAGAGCCGCCTGGATAGCGGAGCACCGGCTCAGGAGTTCTTGCCGATCGGTAAGTGTGGTACTTTACGACGCGCCATGTCAAAAGATACCGAGGGAAGTCGAGGTATCAGTGTCGTGAATCACACTGCGTGTATATATGCGCATATAGATACAAAAGATCACTAATTTTGGATGGCGGACCATATCGAGGTCGCGGGTCGAATCGCGATCTAGTCCAACATAAGTTACATCGTGTTTCTTCCAGACTTTCTCACCCGCAACGTCGCCCTCCAACAGCTCGGACTCAGCGAGAAGCAGAGCAAGATCTACAACGCGTTGGCGATTGCCAGTGTCAGCAGGTGTGTTGCGCAATCGTAGCACTTATCGCGAGAAGATCCATTAACAACGATGATTTGAGCTTACCGATGGGAGGCATGGATACCTCCCGAACCGCCATGCTCACTCCGGCGATGATCAAACAATTCTTGGCGACCCATCAGATGGTGATTGTCGACGACGCGTACTGTATTCAAGTGATTATGGTAAAGTAGAAAGCCCAAACATCACCTAAATTTGTATTTAAGGAGCACGAGCCAGACCCGCATACCCGCCAAAAGCAACAACTCTCTTTTGAAGGGTTTGTTCGATGGTTGACCGACCCGTCGAATTATGCATTTGTGCCAGAGACGGTCGAGGTATCGAAGTTAAAAAATTTGAAATTTAACATAACAAGCGAGCGGATTTAAGGGCGTTTGACCTCAAATCGTTTAGCCCGACGAGAGCCAACTGAACTACCCACTTTCCCACTACTACATCAACTCCTCGCATAATACCTACCTGACGGGGCATCAGCTGAAGGGTGAAAGCAGTGCAGAGATGTATAGACAAGTACGTTTATCATTTTTAAATACGTTTAATACTTGGAAAACACAACAAAAAATGTAAATGGCGCATGGAGTTGGAACGCGCATAAGAGTCTAGCGAACACTACGAGCAGCTCTTATGCTCATCCCGATACTTTGCTATTACGCTTCTTTAGGTCCTCTTAACCGGATGTCGATGCGTTGAGCTCGACTGTTGGGATGGAGACAATGGACTGCCGCTCATCTACCACGGCCACACCTTCACGAGCAAGATTCAATTCCGGAGGGTGAGTTCTCGTTTTCGGTCGATGCAGAAAGTGCTTGATTGGCAGAATATAAGGCGCGCATAGCGTGAGGGCGTACATAGGGAGGCTGCGTCCCGTCAGTCTGAGATACGCGAAGCCCCTTTGCGCGTACTGAACCGGTGCGCCTTATAGTAATTCAACACCTCGCCGTGCAATATTGTTTTATTCAAATCAGGAATACGAAAAGTCGAGGAAACTTTAATTTCCAGGTCGTCGAAATCATCAAGCACTCCGCCTTCGTCGCCAGCGATCTGCCAGTGATTCTCTCGATCGAAAACCACTGTTCCGTCCATGTACAGGCGAAAATGGCACAAATGTTCAAGGTAAGTAATAAGCCCGATATCTTTTGATCACAATTTTCTTCTTTTTCTAGACAATTCTTGGCGACCGGCTCGTCACTTCCTTCCTGTTCGACTCGGATTTTACCGAAAACCCGAAGCTGCCCTCGCCACTTCAGTTGAGGGGCAAGATCTTGATCAAGGTATAGAAAAAATGCCCTAAAAGACTTCCTGATTTTTAGAACAAAAAGATGATCTCTGAACCGTCGGTTGGGCTGCTAGAAACTCGATCCCTCTGCCGAGCGGCGACGGATATGCAATTATCCAGGAAAATCAGCAAGAATAGCTATGAGAGCAGGTAACGCTGGTTATTTTCAGCATTTATATATTGATTAAATGCTATAAAAGCTTTATTTTCAGCCGAAAAGCCTGGATACGTTAAGTTTCAAATTTTAGCACGGCCGAAGAGGTAGAAGACGATGATCTCGACGACTACATGGACGACGAGGATCAGGAGGATGACGATGGTAAAGCTAATACCACTTTATAACTTGATTATTTTATTGCATTTAGTGCCATAAGATCATTAATTTTGAATAGCGTTTATTAAAAAATTGAGGCCAGATTCTTTTTAGCAACCTGGCTAGTACTAGCCGTTTACCTCGGGCTACCACAGCGCGAGGTGCAGCGAAAATTCTCGCGGAAGAGTTTGGGTATCGTGTAAAAATAGCTTATTGTACAAAAATGTTGTAAAATTATCCAAACCTTAACAAAGATTATTATTTGATTCCGGTTTATAGAAGTGTTTTCAGACTCCCCAAAAATCATCCGCGGAAGCAAGAGGCGGATTTCGAAGCCCGACTCGATCAGCAGTGACCACTCTGAAGGGGCTAAAGGCGTGGAGACAGTATGTGAATTGGTAGGTTTATCATGAAGAAAAACGATACCTTTATCTGTAATGAAAGGGTTATAAAACCTGAACGCACAAGTTTGTGACTAATTTTTTTTGTTTTTTAGACCACCTGCTCCTTTGATACGACCAGAGATGCGGATGATGCTATATCTGGTAAGTCTCGTTTTTCATCCTTTAAAGCAAATTCGAATCATTTAATTTGAGTTAAAATGCTATAATTTTCTTTATTAAGTTGAAACTCTCACGATTTTTAGCGATTTCAGCCCTCTCGTTGGCGACGGAACGCCCAAGGGGCCGCCAAGGGTTGTTGGCTCCGGAGTTGAGCGATATTGTCATCTACACCCAGGCGATCAAGTTCAAGGTGGGGTCACATTATTTCATTAAAAAAAAATAATCATGCAATTTAAGGGCTTCACCACCAACGATTGGGTCCGAAACGCGGAGACAGACATTTTTGTCGCTGGGTTCCCACCACCAAGTTTGTCCATCTCGACAAATCGGAGCAGATGTTCCACGAATTTGCTGTCGACACCATCGCCCTTGAGGAGGTAGAGCTAGAGAAAGAAAGAGAGAGAGAGAGAGAGAGAGAGACAGAGAAAAGGGGAGAGCGAGAGAGCGAGAAAGCTAGAAAAAATGGATCGAACCAATTCGTCTAGACAACGAAGTTCCACCCATATCTCCGACCTCTTGGACGCTACCGGAAGTGATCATGGTTCAATCAGAAGAGCAAACGTCAACGCGTCTTGCTATCAAGTCACTAGCTTGAATGAGGTATACTTTTATATCGTAATTATTTTATATGAATTTCGATCATAAAATATCATCCATTTAGACCCAAGCCCGAAAACTCTGTCGAAAGCACCCGCTGAAGTTGATCCAGTACACGAAAGATCGTGTAAGTTAGATGTCGTACCGGTGGAAACTAAAAACTACAGTTAAAATTTAACAAAGAAATTTAACGAATGTGAATTTCGCTAAAATTATTCGATTCACTACAAAAATTTTATTTTAGCTGATGCGCACCTACCCGGGAGCGATGCGGATCGACAGCTCAAATTTTCAACCAATCCTGTACTGGGGATTCGGGTTGCAGATGGCTGCGCTCAATTTTCAAGTACTAAATTTTTGTATATTTTTATTTTCTATCTATTTATGCTATATTTCTAGCTTATGTAATATCTACTGCTGTTTTTAAGCAAAAACTTACGCTTTTTTCCAGACCACCGACGTGATGATGGCCGTCAACGCCGCCATGTTCGAGCAGACCGGAAATAGCGGGTTTGTATTTTGTAGTTACAAATCATGCTTTAGCCGAATTTAGCCATATTTCTTTTATGTGAATAATCTCATAAAATTATTTTTAAGGTACACCTTAAAGCCGCGCGTCCTTTGGGAGGATAACCATCCACTATACCGCAAGTTCAACCCCCTCTCCAAGGAGCTGACCAATCAGTCGGCGCTCCTCTTGACGTTGACTGTACGTTACTTACTACGTTTAGCCCATTGATTCCAAATTTCAGGTCCTATCCGGTCAATACGTCTTCCCGCACGCCCATTCCGGCTCGCCGTTCGTTGAGGTCGAACTCATCGGGCTGCCGGTGGACTGCAAGAAGGAGAAGAGCAAATTTGTGCCGAGGAATGCGGTGGGTAGATGGCTGATGGGTTTTAACTACTTCGGGACTTAAAAACACCAATATCTTGTTTTTTTTAGGTAAACCCAGTGTGGAACCACACCGTCCAGTTCCGGATTGTTTTCGTGGAGCTGGCATTTTTGAGGATAGCTGTTTGCGACTCGGCTGTGAATGGGCGAGTAGTAGCTCAACGGTATGTTTTTAAAATCTTTGTTATTTATATGTTTTGGAAAAAATTCTCGAATGATGTGTGAATACAACATTCTTAGTTTAACCATATTTCCTAAATGAGCGCCAACTCTTCGTTTAGTGTAATCCCCGTTCGATGCCTCCGACCCGGCTATCGGCATCTACCACTACGGACTCCAGCTAATCAGCCGACCGGTAGGCTCTGGAAACTTTCAAATTTACGAAGGAGTTATAAAAGCGAAAACCCGATCCAATACCTATTTACAATTACCTCATTTTTTTTAGAAAACGGTGCGCTTTTCATACGCTCCCGGTTTGAACAAGAAGAACACATCTACCTGCACGAAGAAGACAGCCAAGCCGCCGCTGGCACTTTTGAACATGCCATGGCATATCAGAATGATACGGTCAGTTTAAGCTTACTGATCTGTACTCAAATTTTGTTAAAAATATTGTCTTGGCTTGCGAGACATCCCAATCAACTTCCGGCGTTTTCAGGGCCACAACAACGTCTGCAAGCCGATGCCGATCCTGAAGAAGCAAATCTTCGTGCTGCGGATTTCCGGAATCACCACTGACGACTCTACAGTAGTTGTACATGGAGAGAGCAGCAGCACCGTGAAGAGCGTTGTGCAACAGGTAGGTCTACTATGACTGTAAAATCTTTCTCTCAAAATCAGGCCCTGATCAACGCCGGGAAGAATGGAGACGCGGTGGAGGACTACGTGCTCTTCGAGGAGAGCCTGAGGAATGATGGGGAGGATGGGGAGACTCAAAAGTAAGAAATAACCTAGGAATGCTTATTCCGCACCCAGGTACCGTATCCTACCTCCCAATGAGCCGATCATGGACGCTGTAGCGCTGTGGAACGGCGGGCAACGCCGATTTTTGGTCAAGCGAAAGGGAACGGTAGGTTTGAAGCGGACTTGCCAGAACGTATCGTAAACATAACGTACATGCTATACTTTTCATTAACCGTACTTTAACTATAACTTTAGGACCCCTCATCCCGCGCCTGGATCACCTCGATCATCAAGGGTGGACCGTCAAACTCGAATGGAGCGTCGGGGTCTAACCCCCAAGTTGCAATGGGCTCCGGGACGACCATTTTCGAGAAAGTCCCAGAGGTGAGCCTTAACCTCCAGCATCTAATCTCGTATTCAAGCTTCAGGTCGTGACACACGCCATGAAGTCCCAATCCTCCCAACAAATCCATGGCGGCAGGAGTCTGGATGTAGATTCGGCCGGCGGGGATTTGGAGCCGCCAGGTAAGTATGACTTGAGAGGATTATCATCATAGTATTTTAATTATTCTACTGGCAGAGAAAGATGCGAAACCCATAATACGTACTTTTAGGTATGCAACCTCGTGCTCGCTCCATGGGCGATACGTTCCTCGTTTGTGTCCATAACATCTCGGAGGAGCAACCGTATGCGATCCTAAGAGCGTCGGTCAACAGCTCGGCCAAGGACATTATCAAACAAGTGCGTTTTGTCAGACACGATACCTGAAAAGATAGTGATATTTTGACAATCATCCGTTTTCCAGGTCTTCCTGAAAGCCCGTCGACTCGATGAAGACGAGAGTGACTTTGTGCTCGTTGAGGAGGTCAGCGACAGGCAGCAACCAGGGCCCAGTGCTAATCCGACGCCTTCAGGTGTGGAACCTCTCGAGAAAACCCCTCGCTTATTAACAAGGTCTAGCCATTAGCAGCAAACTTCTTTTAGGTTCCGGCACAGTCCTCACTGCCCTTCGCGAGGTCTCGGTCTGCCGGAAGCGAAGTTCTGATCGTAGTTCTTGAACAGCGCGGCATTACATCCCTTTTTAGTTGGCGGTCGAGCCGGAATCAGCGCCCGAACGCTACGTCCTGATGAGAACGTCTTCAAGGTGCAGTCGCGGTGGAAGAACGTTGCCCGATTCACCTTGGAAAGACGACGAATCTCCCATGGAACTACGAGTTCGCTTGAGAGGATGGCGCATGTAAGTATCGAACTTAATGGTGACAATGTTTTTAGCATTCAAATTTGCCGCTTTGTCGAAATTTCGAGAGGAGTTTTGGGGCTGAACGTATTACCAAAACTTTTTCAGGTAGGAGCCCTCTCGAGCGCCCACGGTTCCCCCACAGTTTCCATGGCTGCGATGTTACAGCACTCACAAATTGCGGCTGCCAAGAAGAACGAGCAGGTGATTTTTGTTAGCTATTTTTAAATTCTTTACGCATTTTTTAGTCTAAAAAATTAATAAACATTAAAAAGAACTAAGGGGTAACGTAGCAAAATGCACAGAACGCGCTTTGTTTGATGAGCATCGGGGTGTTACGTAGCTCACAGACCAGTACAGACCGCTCCTTTCAACATCGTATTTTTGTGCGGCTACCACTCTAGGTAGCCAAAAATTGACGATAATCCATTAGAGATCATCATTAGATGATGATCAAAGAATTCATCTAAAAAGGGCTACGTCGCGATGCACCAGTTTTCGTCCGCTACGCTCCTCTGAACCCCGAGCTTTTTCGCCGATTATTCTTATCCATTTTAAATGATAGTTATAACCTCTTTCTAGTCCACAAGCCGAAAAATCTCGTTGGCTTCGATGCGCTCCATGCCTCGCCGACTGTCCCGTTTTGGGAAAAGCCTGACGATGGACGCCAGCAATAAATAACCATTCCTGATTTTTGTATTTTTATAGGATCGCCTAATCCGTGTCATTACTATGCGCATAATTCTTTCCGATTCAGGGCCTTGAAGTTCTCAAATGTTTATAGTATTTTATCCCGGTTAATTTTTGTCGAATTTGCCTGTTTTTTGCATTGTTAAACCTTATCCTGGGTATATTTTGCTGCGATGTTGGCCAAGCATTGTTTGGGTTAATAAATATTTATATGTTTTTTTAATTACCACTCGTTTTTATAGTAGTTAAAGTACTCGTTCGATTCGGCGACCATATCGTGGATGATGGGTTTTACTTTTCCGGTCTGGACGGTGCCGAATAGATTCCGGAAATAGGCATAGAATTCGCGGCGCCATTCCGAGACTGCCCATAAACAGATGAAGAGGAAGAAGGCAACGTAGCTGAAAGTTTATGCGATTTATTAATACTTTAATTGGTTGATAGGAATCTTAGCATCGCAAATACCAGGTTCTTTGCATTATCGGGGGGGGGGGGCTGTCAGTAAGAACCCAGATTTTTCTCCAGGAACGAATTTTTCTAGTATAAATAGTGGAAACTTTTTCAGCTATTCTTGGCGGGTTTTTTGGTTTTAAAAGTTGAGCAACTTCAAAATCGTTGTGCAAAAACAGAAAGAAATTGCAATTTTTCTTCATAAATAGCCCATTCGCGACCAGAACTTCAACTTTTTCAACTTTTTCAGAGCTTTGTTGACTGAAATTTCGTTAAATTTGGCTATCAACATTATTAAAATATTAGCATTGTCTTTTTTACGTATTAATTAATAACTTTATTAAGAATTTTTGTAGCTAGATAAAAAACAGATTGCGGATGTTGGCAATCCCAAGGAAAGCTACCAACGAATTTTGCAGAATTCAAAAATTATTAAATTTTTTGCGTTTATTTCGCATTCTCAAGTATGAAATCGCAGTGTATTTTTAAAGCTTCAAATCTTAGTACTTACCCAGATATCCACACTTCGATGAAACAACCCAGCCACAAGTTTTTCTCCTCCAAAACTGCGAAGTGCAAGGTTCCTACTAAAGCCGTGGCGATGCCGTAGAAAGTCATCCATATTATGACCCGATTTAACAACTAAAATTATTTTTGAAAATCATTTTAATTTGTATCTTTGGATACCTTAATTGCTTTAATATTCTCATCCACTTGAAACCTCATGCTCAAATTGTAGCCTCTTTTCCCGACAACACCCGCTGAGAGCTCTTTGAGCAATTTGACGTTAAAAGTGTTTAGATAGAAGTAGGCCTAAATTTAGCTGACATAACCTTCTAAGTATTCGTTATTACCAAGCCATGGCAAATAAACAGTAACCCGCAGAAGGGTAGAAAAAAGTTGATGAGGAAGCGGTAGAGACTTTCCTCGTCGATGGCGACCACTGGAAAACCGGTTGTAGTTAACGGATTTTGTTAAAAAAGCATGATTAAAATGACCCTATTATAACTGATTTTATAATGACATCATTGAACTCAAAAACTTACAAAAACCAATGCTTGTCGCAATAGTACAGCCTAGTGTTACATTAATGACGAGTACCACCGAGAAAATATAGGAGCGTTTGGTGTGCTCGTAGTCTTCGATGAATTTTGAGGCGCAGACCCTGTAAGGTAATTTTTTGGGGTATTACATGTCGTAACGTATTGCTCAAGGTTAAGAGAAAAGTACTCTACAAGAAGTATATGCTTCCCTACCTTTCGATCAAGATCTTGGCAACACATCCCATTCCGGTAATAGCCAAGTAGTACCGCAAAAAACATGCCACCATAAAAGGGAAGTCGTCGCGGAACCAGCCTGAAATATGCAAGTAATTTCGATCCTAAGATTAAAATAATGCCTACGGTTTTCGCAAACTACTGTAGCTAAAAGCAAGTGTCATTTTTTGCACGTTCTGTGGTGTTATTATTTTTGGGCTGTAAATGCACAAGGCACATTGTATCGAAAGAACACCTACCCGTCAATCTTATCACATCAAACTCGTACAGCACCAATATCGTTCGACAGATGAAATTGAGTTGGAAAATCAGAGCTATCAGTAGAAATATTCTTCGCAGATTCTCGTGAAATTGTGCGGTGTGGAGCAAAATTCGGATAAAAGGGATATAGAGCAGAAATGTTATTATTAGCGAAATGAACTCGATGGCGGTCACGAAATAGACGTAGATGGTGAAGGATAGATCCTAGAAAAACCCTGGATACAGAGGCGAATTAAATATTCGATTACCTCTCGATTCCTAGCCTCGCAAAACTGTGACATCATATAGGGGGATTGGAAATCTTTCGAAAAGTAGTACATCGTTACATACAAAAATATAGCGAGTTAAACTTCTGAAAATTTGAGGTATAATTTGAAAATAATTCGAGAAATTCTGGGAGAAAGACGAGAACTTCGGTCCTCGCGAAAGTCATCGAGTGAGAAAGTTCACAGACCAAAATCCGCCTAGACAGACGCCATAACAGAAATGAAAGATGTTGTGTATCTTTATTAAATTTTTAATAACAATCTAGTTGCAACGGAAAGAAGGTGCGATAACCTTCAAAGACATTGGCTGCAGGTGAAATTGACTTTCGTTCTTTCTTTTTATCTTTATTGCTGAAACCAAAATGCTGAAATCTGCGCAGTTTCCAGCGGAAGCTAGAATATTGTTTTGAACGTAAGATCGTGTCGGTATTTTATTAATGGCAACTCAGAAATTTAATTCTTAAGGTGCTTTTTATCCGAGGCCCTTTTAGTGTCAATTTGTAAAAGTCGCCAGGCTTCCTTCGATAATAACGTTTAAAAATTGCAAAAGTGGCAAAAAAACGATTCATGGAAGGAAATAGAAAGAAAACAGCTATTAAAAGAAATGAGATAAACAACAAAACCTTCAAAAAGTTAGATCAAAAACACGTGTAGATTTATGATCGACTACTCGCCACCTGGGGCAGACTATCGTAACTCAATTCTAGCGAGCCAATCTGGTGAGGAAAGGAAATTGGGACCGGAATAAGCCAATAAACCCCAATTTTTTTAGGGAACAAATAGGGTTTTCTTCGAAAATCATATTGGAGCAAAAAAAAGCCGAAATTACGTTTTTAACTTCTATTAAAGTTATATTATTATGCCCTTTTCAAAAGTTATCTTGAAAAAGACGTCAGGAAAAAGATGCAGTAATTTGGAACCGCTCGAATTTGTTGGCACGAAATTCAAAGTTAAACGGCTTCTTGGAACCGTCGAAAAGTATAATGCGCAGGATTATACGTCTACTGATGCATTGTACCCCCCAACAGAGCTTGTGACTGCGCTAGAGCATCACCTGCGGCTGGGGCTAAAAAAGGGCAGCGCACGGCTTCAAGCAGCGCAACCGATCGAAGATCTCTGTTCCCGTGTTTGTTCCGAAAAAAAATTGGAAATTGGGGGATCGCCAAGTGGATCAAAAACGTCTGCAAAGACCAAGAAATTATAGTGTATTGGAAGTAGAAAGTAAACGAACGGAAAAAGTAAACCCTTGTGATAATTATAGGCCTCGAATGGGGGTAATCTGGTAAAAGTCAGGTGGCTCGCCACCTGGGAGTACGTAGGCAACAACAGGGCTTGATTCAAGTTTACGGTACTCTCCCAAAATGCGGTTTTTTGTGTTCAAATCGCTAAATAAAGGTCAGAAACGGACTCAGCGATAAAAATTAGGTGGCGGAAGGCACTTTTTAGGGGAGAAAACCTCATTTTAGTTTTGAGATCGGGTACCGTAAAGTAGTATACGGGGGTGACTACTTTACGGTACTCGCCCAAAATTTTAGTTTTTCTGCACGAAAAGAAGCAGTAAGGGCTGAAACGAATGAAGCAGCAAAAATAATTTGGCGGAAAGGCCTAAAAATGAGTGATTTGAGACTTCGAAGTTTGAGGCTTATGACATGTCGCGCAAGGTGGGCCGTCGCTTCGGATGGGCTGCCGCTCCGCCTGGGCGCTTCGCGCTCCTCGGGCGCCCCGATTTCGAAACACTGTACGAGCTCGCACCCATCCGAAGCGACTAGGCCCCGGGTGGCACGAAGCCTTATTTTTAGGCTTAAACTGGGTGTGATTGAGAGATGGAATCTGTGTCCGAATCTTCCCTTTATAGGCCTTTCCGCCCACTTATTTTTGCTGATTAATACGTTTCAGACCTTGCTGCTTCTATTCGTGCAGAAAAAGGAACATTTTGGGCGAGTACCGTAAAGTAGTCACCCCCCGTATACTACTTTACGGTACCCGATCTCAAAACTAAAATGAGGTTTTCTCCCCTAAAAAGTGCCTTCCGCCACCTAATTTTTGTCGATGAGTCCGTTTCTGACCTTTATTTAGCGATTTGAACACAAAAAACCGCATTTTGGGAGAGTACCGTAAACCTGAATTTTCCCAACAACAGAGTCGAGTGTCAAGAAGATATCATGAATGGATTTCTAAAAAAAATAATCAAACGCGCCTCTTTTTTCCTTGATTTGCCATCGGTACAGTTTTTGGAGTCTAAAAGGTACCAAGAAGGCGCCCCTATACATGTATCGTTGTTGCAAATCTGCCGCCACAGCGTTCAGAGCCCTAAGAAAAAGGTTCGTCGAGCAGGGGAGGGGGTCTCGGCACTCTCGCCCTCCCTCTGGCTGTCTGCCCCCACCCCCGCGCGTTTGAATCATAAATGGTGTGTACGAAAGGTTAGCCCGGCTGTCTGCTATCGCGCGCCCCACCCCTCCCCTGCCTGTCTGCCCTCGTGTCTGCGCTCTGCATCCTGTACCCAAGGGGCCCCCCTTTTCTGAACCATGTGGCCGCGCATGCCGCGTTTCCGGTGCGTAATCGATTACGGCACGTAAAGCATGACTGAACGTTAGACCCATTGTCGCGGCGCTACGAACGTCGAGGGATCCAAATGGAATTCGGAGTCCTGCCTTTTCTGACCTTTATAGAATCTCTGCTTGCCTACCTGGATCTGTAATTGTCATCCGGCTAGTGAAATACGCAAAGCTAGCATTTGGGATTCTTGGGAAATAATTTCTAGCCCAAGTCATTCCGGAAAGCTACGGAAATGAAGCCGTTGCCCGGATGTTATTACTCACCCTTCTTGACAAATTTTCACTTGTTGTGTCTGTCTAGCGGAACCAGATAACATTTCTACCCAGTTCATCAGAACCCGCTTTCGCGGTGTTGATCAACAGTTTCTTTGAAAAACGCAATATTTGACAGGTGCTGGCAAAAGGCACTCATTTGTGGGTACAGAACAGCTGCCGAGCTCTCGTTATGTTGGGGAAATCATTAGAAGTCGTCAGAAATTCTCGAGATTCTGTAAAATGTCAAATGAAAAGATGGAAAAGCAAAGAAGTCGAGCAACGACAAAATGCTTACTACCCAAAATTAATCGAAAAATCTAAATAAATCTAAAAAATTTCTGAAATTTAGAAAAACAAACCATTTAAAGTTTTTGGTGTATCTAAAAAGCACGAAAAATTTTTATGAAAAATGCCTTTACGTTTAGGGTAATGGAATCGATCCTATAATAATTCAATTTTTGAAGCTGGTTATTGCGGATTCGAAAAAAATATGGATCAAGTAAAATAAAAGACCAAGAATAATTAATTTCTTGACGGCATTTTATGAAAAACCATTTCTAATGAATCGATATATGATATTTACCCCAAAACTATTAAAATTTTCATGCCCCATCTGCTGTTTCCAATCGATAAAATTCCAAATTACCAGGGAGTTCACGAATGGCAATTTTGTGTCCATTAATGCTTCGACCTCCTTTGATCTGCCGCACCCGGCACGAGGCCGCCAGATGCGCTTTCCTCACTAGCAAAGGGCAGATGGCTACAGGCTACAACCTGATAACCTATATAAAAGTCACCCCAAAAATCATTCAGATCATTTTATACCAGCCTCACCACAACTACAACCTACCGTACTCCTCCGCCACGATGACCTACTCGCCGCCCGAACTCTACACCTTCCATCCCAACCAATTCGAATTTCTCTCTTCCCAACCCGGCTCTCCGGTCCAATTTCCGGCCCATCAAACCCTACCCCCAACCCCAAAACAATCCTCATTACAGTACCACTCGGCCCTGGCCAAAACCCTCCGGGCCCGCATCCACTCCCTGGCCCATTTTGACGCCCGCGCCCAGGGCCAACAAATTAGCCTGGCCCCGCCCACCAATTTTGTCGTTGACCCGAACACCCCGAATTTGGACTTGTACCTGGCTAAACAAGCCGAAGCCGCCAAACCCAGCTCCATCTCCCCGCCCCCACAATCCGTCGTTGAGTCCACGGAATTTTCTGAGGACTCGGAGCCCGAGGACCCGTCGCCATTGCATACTGTACTCCCCGAATACGCGGTCCGGCATGGCGAGAAGCAGCTGGGCGGGGAACACCACAAGTCGCTGCATATGGTGGATTTTTTAAGATTATTAAGTTTCGGATTTTTTTTGAGTTTCCAAATTTTTTACTTTTTTTACGTTATCTAATTTTTAAGTAAAAATTTATAATTTCAATTAATGTTTTAGCATTTTTTCGTATTTACGATTTGTGTTTTCTTCTTTTATTTTATAGATAAGTCGGTTTTTGGTTATAGCACGATCGTGTTTTTGCATAAAATCAAAAATTGGTAACTATTAAAAATTGATAATTATTTTTCTTTAGATGGTTTTAAAGACTTGGATTCGTTATGATGGGCTTGGAAACTAACCTTAAATTTGCTTCTAGTAGGTGAAATTTGAAATTTGGCATTTAAACCAAGTATAAATCTTAAAGCTTAACGTCATAAGCCGGTTAGGCTTTTATATAACCAAAAATCATTAAAAAAATAATTTTTAGATCGCACTCCTCGCGAGAAACCACTGCGAGATCCCGCTGCATCAGATTGAGCCCCTCCTCCAACGGAATATCCGACTTCTGGTGGCCTTGGTCAGTTTTGTATTTTGTAGAGTTTTTCATTTTACTAATCGTATCTTTTGACCTACACAACAAGGAATTCCAGATGAAAGATGACCCAGAGCAATACCCGGTGTGGCACGACATGAACGAGCAGTACATCGACATTATCCAGGGTTGCGATTCACTTGTTGGATATATTCGGGTAGGTATTTCAATAGCTTGCATTAAAACACAACAGTTTGAACAAAAAAAAGTGGATTAAAATCTAAGGCTTTGAATTCAAAATTAAATCCGTTAAATCGAAAAAACGAGGTTAACCGCCGTCTTTTCAGGCAATCGCCGAGTGGCTGCCACTCCGGAGCAAGAATGCGAATATCCGGCGCCAAGAACTGCACCCAGAAGTTGCCGCCATCGTCTACCTGGCCCGTTTCCACCACCATACCCCCGGGGAGTACCTCAATTTCCCGATTGATGCCGAGAACCCGCACATTGCCCATATTCAGGATCTGTGCAACAAGATTTATCGCGAGGTAAGATATACAACATTTATTGATAGTTTTTAAGTTAATTAACGCAAATCTGATGTCATGCTTAATTTATTAAAGTTAAAAACGAAAAGTATAGTACGACTTTCAGTTAGATCGATTTAAATCAACGAAACTTTAGAAATAAGCTTAATTTTTACGCATACTCAGAAATTCATACCATTTTTTTATGTTTTAATTTTCTAAAAAGACCGTTTAAAAAATAAAACTAAAATAAAAACTCGACAAATACTCACATTTTTCCTTAAGCTACAAATGTTTAAAAGACTTTAAATACTAATTGCCAGGGCTCTAAAATGCCGGCGATGGATCGCTTCTTCACCGACATCCTCTACCGTATGCAGCAGCTGGGCCAACAGGCCAACAACCTTGTCAACATGGTCGGAAGCTATGGGCAGCTAACCACGTTGTATTAAGTACCAACTTATGTATTTCTATCAACATAGCCATTAGTGCGGCTGTGATTGCAATTGTACATATCTGTCCATATGCGTGATGAAATGCAGAATAAAATTTTGATACCTGCTTGGCGGTAAAAATAGGTTTTAAGCTTAAGAAAGAAACAAATACTTCATAAAAAAATTAGTTTATGCAAAACACAGAGTTTTTTAAACGGTTTATACAGTTTTATACACCATTAGGACCTTATTTAAACGGTTTTTATATTTTTATCAAATCACCAAGAATTCCGATAATACTGAAAATAAGCATTTGTCTCGGCCATTAGGTCGATGGAGGGGACCGGCGAGCACCTGGCGGTCGTCACTTGTGAGGTTCGGGATAATGCGGGAAAAGCCTCGAAAAATTGCTCCCTCCACTCTTCGACGGCCCAGAGGCAGACGATCAGGAAGAGGGGAGAGTAGCTAAACGTTTATGAATTATCATGTCTAATTGTAGCAAGACCAAGCCCATTCCTAACCCTAAGTGATAGCCCAAGCCCAAGCTCAAACTTAAGCCCAAGCCTAAGCCTAAGACTAAGCCTAGCCTAAGCCTAAACCACGCCCAACCAATCCTAAGCCCCAGCCTAAGTCCTAGCCTAATCCAAGCCCAAGCCCAAGTCCAAGCCCAGGTCCGACAAAGTCTTGTAAGCCGAGCTTCATTTTTCCCGGATTGAGATATCAACTTACCATGCCGCTAGGGCCTCCAGCACACAGCCAAACGCGGGTACGGTTTCCCGAAAAGCCAGAAAATGCGGGATGCCGGCCAGAGATAGCAAACACCCAAAAGTCATCATGCAGAATACGATTTTCTTGATCATCTAAAATAGTATACTCTAACCTGAAATAGTGGCAAAGTTAAAGCCTTAATTTGGTTTTGTTACCGTACCTTGATCGCCCTCAAATTTTCAGCAACTTGATACCGCATGCTCAAATGATATCCCCGTTTCCCAATAATGTCCCTCGACAGTTCGGCCAGTAACTTAGTATTATAGTTTACGAGGTAAAAGTAGCCCTGAGAAAAAATTAAAGGAATTAAAAAAGTAAGTATAAAAAGTAAAAGACGTTTAAGAGGTAAAAAGAATATAGCTAGTTGCTATACTAAACTTACAGCACTCTGCCATGTAACCAGCAAAAAGCACAGCGGCAAAAATATATCGATGATGAAAAGGTAAAGGAAATCGCCGGTTGCTACTAAAATTATATATTTATGGTTTTAGAGGTATCCTTACAAAATCCTCCAACAACCGAAAACACAGTCCCCAGCACAAAAAATTGGGCCATCATACTCCCAAAAATGTAGGTTCGCTTCCGTTTTTCGTAGTCCAGCACGAACCAGGTGGCCGCAAGCCTATGCAAGTTTTTCCTCGGTTGAATAAAACCAAAAATACCTTTCGTTGATGAGGTTGAAAACAAAAAGCACGCTGACGACCAATAAAAAATAGCGCATCATTGAGGAAGCGAACATCGGCCAGTCGTGGACGATCCAACCTGGAATGCCGTTTTAGTCTCGTAAAATTTAATTTTGTAAAGTTTGGCAGTGCAATTGGGTCCGTTAAGCCACCTGTTAAAACGACAAACTCAAATTGATAAAACAAGGAGATCAATCTTCCAATGAAATTCAATTGCAGCACGATTGAAAAGCAGAGAAAATAGTTTTGCAGGTTTCGATGGAACGTTGATGTTCGTAGTAGAATTTTTATAAATGGTAAATAAGCGATAAATGTTGAAACATGTAGTATAAATTCGACTAAGGTGACGATATATAGAAAAACGGCGTACGAAAAATTCTGAAAGATTTTTTAAGTAAAAAAATTCGCAAAACCGTTCGGTTCTTCGCATCGCAAAACATAGCAACCATGTAGTCAGCTTGAAAATCTTTGGAGTAATAATACATAATTTTTTTCTTTAAAAATTTTAGATGAATCTCTTGCAAATTTTTGAAAAGTTATATTTAGTTTAGAATATAGCTTGGACGGTAAATAGAATGAGAATTGACGAATTAGCCTTAAAGCGGCTAGATTAACGGCGCCAGTAGTACCAGACATTCACCTGCCTTCTGAAAAATGATACATAGAGCTAGTTGGATGATTGATCAGTGCAGTTGAGCACCCAAAAAAATGTACCATAAAATGTAGTCAGAAACGGTTTCAGGGAGATCTTTCAAAAACCGAAAATCTTTCCGATTTTCTGTCTTTTCCTCTCGCAATTTGTTCAAGTGAACGCTTTCTTATGTTTATATTCGTGTATTAAATGCATTGTATTTAATCCGGAATCAAGCTTATTTTCATTTCTAGAAATGTCAGTTATTTGATTAGCATATTCCGCATATCTTGCCGCCGTGCATTGGAACTCTCCGTAGTCACGACTTGCCAACACCATGCTACTCTGTACATAATGCTGTTAAAAGCCTTATTTTAAAGAATATTAATGTCGTCAACCTTCTTAAGTTTTTCAGTGTTTTTGCAGTGTCCTTTTAGCTTTTCGTGTTTAAATAACAATGACCCGTTTATGCATGTAAAATAAGTATAAGCTACCAAAGTTTTAACAGCATAAAAATATACTAAGACATTTAAAAGCGTATTCACTTCGATCACCACGCATTGCTATAATACTGAAAATAGGCATTTGTTTCCGCTTGAATATCGATCGATGGGGCGCTCAACGAGTTCGTTTCCGAGCGTTTTCCAGGCCCGAAAATGGGGAGCATGATGTCGACAAATTTCTGGCGCCACTCATCTACGGCCCAGAGCGAGGTTAGCAGGAAAAATGGGACATATCTGAATTACTTTAAGAAACGTAATATATAATTACAAAGCTGTGGCCACTTCCATCCAGCATCCGATGAACGGAAACCGCTCATCGAAGATGATAAAGTGAAAAATGGCGAGACCACCTTCAGAAATTCCGGATATTGCCAAGCAGAAGACAATCTTTTTCACCATCTAAAATATACAGGGTGTCCCAATAAAAAGGTCACACTGGCATTTCGCCATTTCAAAAGCGATCGATTTGAAATTCTGAACCGAGGTGCGGAAGGGAATTTAAAATGTTCACAGAAACTTTCAACCCGATCGGTAACTTTTTCGAGTCATAGCAAAAATACGGTTTTTCCAACACTTTTGTTTCCATTTTTCGGACTTTGCAAGAATTACCATCAATTACGGCCCTCAATCCCCCATTCTTCTTAACCTCGGGGACATGACACCTTGTTAAAATTACTAAAACCACCGATTTCCAAGACGAATCTTACGAAATAAAAAATTTTCTGGGGTAAAAAAGGGTGGGCGCTTCATTTTTGCCATACATTCCAAGGCTCAATCCCGGCAAAATCCAGGTTAAAAACCTAAATAAAAGTTTATTTTTGCTATAACTCGAAAACTACGGTACCGATCGGGCTGAAAGTTTCTGTGAACATTTTAAAATCCCTTCCGCAGCTCTGTTCCCAATGTCAGGTCGATCGGATTTGAAATGGGAAAATGCCAGCGTGACGTTTTTAATTGGGACCTTTTGTATTAGCGAGTTAAATTTAAGAATATTTGTTTTCTTCATTAACTTATTCTAAAAATTAAGTTTTTCCATACCTCCAGTGCTCTCAGATTCTCGGAGACCTGGTAGCGCATACTTAGGTGATAGCCCCGTTTTCCCGGGCGCAGATCCCTTGATAATTCTTTTAGTAATTTGTTGTTGTGTTTTAATAAGCAATAATACGCCTAAATTGCAGGATAGAAAGTAAAGATTATATCGAATCTTGCCAAAGTCTGCCAGCCAACCATAAATATCGAAAGTGGGACCAGAAAGAAGCAGAGGAAAACGATAAGGCGAGCCCCGGAGACGTCTAAAAATAGTATAGTAATAAATCACGAAATGGTTAATTAAAGGGCTGCCGGCGGCATGTGTCGATCCCCCCTCATCAACAAATTGGCAAGTAGCCAACAGGCGAGAGAGCGCGCCCAGGGGAGAGGCGCAGAGACATTTTCTTTTCCGCGAGTAACCGATTGACTATGCCGTCGGCATCCCTTTAAGGAATAGCCAGATCCATTATTATAATCGATACTTATTAAGCTATTCCACGTTAAAAAGGTTGATACTTTCAACAATTTGAAACGGGTAAAACGTTAACTTAAATTTGTTTTATACCCTTTTTTTCTTGTGTGAACCCGATTAGCGTTTGTTTCTAGAGTATCAAAAAACATAGTAAAAATATACTTATTAGCCATGTCTCTAAAATTTACAAAATCCAATCAGCGGGCACACGGTTGTTCCAAGAATCAGAAACGAAAACATGATAATCCCAAAAATCCAGGAGCGCTTGTGCTGTTCGTAGTCTTTGATGAAGTAGGTGGCCGCAATCCTAGATTCATAGTTTAATGCACTGTTATTAAATACCTACGATATCGTCTCTAGTCATAGAAATCTAACAAATTTTAGCACCCACCTTTCATTGATAATGACAAAAAACGATAGCGTGCTAACGCAGGCCAGAAAGTATCGCAACGTGCAGGGCAGTAATAACAGCCAATCCTGCGCTAGCCGGCCTAATTTTTCTGTTAATGAGGTTTAGAATATACACCAACCTGTAACTGATACCACCTCAAATTCATAGAAAAGCAAAATCGTTCTGATAGGGAAATTCAGCTGTAATAGGAGCGCAAAGAAGACGATAAACTTTCGCAAATTTGGGTGAAAGAGCCGGCTTTCATGTACGATTTTTATAAATGGTATATAGCCAGCCAAACTAATGAAATGGATGCCGAACTCGAAGAGTGTGATCGTGTAGATGAACATCGAGTAGAGCGAGTCCTAGAAAATCTTTTGAAAGAGATGTTTAGACAAACCCCATCATTCGTCGCATTACAAAACATTGGCAGCAAGTACAGACGTTGAAAATCCTTGGAATAATAATACATTCTCATGCGACAAAATCGATAGTTGTTAAAAGTTTAGGGCAGGGAAGAAATCTCAGGTTGCGTTCCCGGACCCAAAATTCACCTGCAGCGGCGAGAATGGAGGGATCACCTCTCATTTGTGAGGCTGACTTTTTGTGCCTAGAAATTGTTAATGAAAGAAAACTTTTATCCACCGAGATCTCTGTAATGCCCCGTAGTCAAAATGAGATAACAATGGCGAATTGCACAATAAGAAACTTCCTGAAGCAACGAAATGGCAAGTAATCACAAGACGAATATTGCAAAATCAAGGATGAGAAGATCTTTTACGTCAAAATCTCGCCATTCATGTTCTGGCGCTCCTCATTTAGGTAGTACGTCCAGTAGGCAATATTGAAAATGAGGAAAGACGCTATAATAATACGGTTATACATTAAAGATGAGTGAGGCTACCTGGAAACGCAAATCTGGACACCTGATCAACGGTATGAGCTTTTCGAGAGTATTTCAATGACTAAAGATTAAATTTGCAGTTTGATAAAGTTTTTTTTACCTGGCAAATCAACATTGCGTAATGCCCAGCTTGTTTCACGTGAATTCTGGTGGCCGGGTTATCGGTATCGTAATCGGCTTCACCGTCGCTGTTGGTAGCTGAACAATGTGTCCCTAATTTTACGCTTCCCAAAGGCTTCTTGCTAGGTTGCCCCACCACTCTTGAAAACGCGGAAGCGTTAAAAACGTTAAAAACCTGATCTAGAAACAAAAAGTACAGAGCGCAAAAGCTACTGAGGTGCATAGCAGCCCCGCGTAGGCCTTGGTGCGCTACGTAGAGCTCCTATATACACAGGACTTCGTGCCTTTGATGCCCTATCGTTTTTTGCTTCTACCCCTCTAGTCGTAATTTCTGAGCCTGAACCTACCATAAATCGCGCTCCTCCCGTTCTCGCTCGAACTCTGCGACCGTTCAGCGAGCACGCCGAATTTGTGCGCTTTTCGCATATAGGAATTGACGACGGCGAATTCTAGCAGTACGCCGAAGATGAACATCATGCACATCCCGTAGAAGTAGTCGATGGCTTTCGCGTAGGCCACCTAGCGAAAACGTTGCTTGAAATTCATAGAAAACTTACAGGTGGCAGTCCGTATCTAATACCATTTCCTTGAGTCGATAGTGTGAGCAAAGTTGTGAAGGATAAGGAAACTCTTGCTGGGACCTAAATACAGGGCTTAGCAAGGGGTTATAGCTTATTTTTACTATCCTTTTCTTCAAAACTGATCATTCATCCATTTAGCTATTTTCTGCTAAATTTTAGGATATTTTACGTTATTTTTAACATTTTTATGCCTCTGACTTTCACGCGAGGATTTTTACGAGCATTTTAGAATCTTGAATTTCTTTCTTTTCCTGTTTTCTTCAACTTACCGCTCTCCTATCGATCCAAAACGAAACCCATGAAATCGCGACGATGAGGGAGGTAGGAAGATATGACTAAATCAGGAATTAATGCTGGATTTCATGATTTTTATACCTGAACCAAATGGTACCCTATTGCCCTTTCCAAATTCATCACCCCGACCAGGCAGGAAAAGTTTCCTAAAACGGGTAATGTCAGATACATTAAAAGTCTTACCCCTTCTACTCGAATTATGCGTAATTGTGTACATAAATTCTCCATTACAGTACATCCCGTCATGGCCGGTGATGTGGAATTCGGGCAGACCTAGAAATTGAACTTTCATACCCTGGAGCTATCGTACCGATTTCTTTATTCATCCGAATCGGCATGTCGTCGAACCAGGTGACGTTCATTTCTTCGACGACGTGCGCGTCTGAATTGAAATAGGATTTATTTAATTAAGTTCTGCCTCGAAGACCTAAGTTATTGCTAATGTACACCCAAATAACAATGGAACGCAATTGGTGGCTCGAAACCTACAAGAAATAATCTTTATCAAGCACTGTTGCGAATCCAGGGGGTAGTCTTTGAGGTGCAAATTGCAGGCGACATTTAGAGTTACTCTGAAAAAGGTATAGTTTTTACAATCTATCCATCTTGTAGTCTGCAGTCTGTAATCTCAAATATACCTCGTGCCATAAGCAATCGTTCCGGTTGGACCAACAAACATGTTAAAATTATGCACCATGACCTCATGGAAATAGGCAGTTCTTGCGTTAGCAAAATAGAGATCAGGTAGCCAGATGCTTTTTAGGACGCTGTCATCTGAAATATTATTCTTTTTATCTCTCGCTCTCACTTCTTTCTCTCTCTCTCTCTCTCTCTCTCTCTCTCTCTCTCTCTCTCGTTCACGCTTTCTCTCCCTCTTTCTCCCGAAAACGCACCATTTATCAGCACATATCCCGTCTCATTATGCGCCAACGAAGGATCGTGCCAAGACATGTACATGTATAAATCCATGTCGAAGGTCTTAAAAACATAATTTGAGATTGAAAAGATTCAGAATCTTGCTTTATTAGCCATTCAATTGAAGGTATAACTCACCATTTCTGTACTCCGAAAATTCCCAAGGCTTTCCACATAAAACCCGACATTTACGTTGAGCGAGCCATTGGCATAAGGCTAAAGATAATGATTGGATTATTATTGATTTTTCGATGCCTTTGGGATCTGCTTCTGCTTGATTTTTTCGTAGATTGGATGAAGGGCGTTTAGAAGTGATATAGAACATAAGAGGATGTGTATTGAGAGTGATAGCATCTGAAACAGATAACGTGACATTTCAACCTTTTTGTTTTCACAAACGACAAAAAATAAGATAAATAACAATCAATTAGAGCTGAAAATGTTTTCTAATTTTCAGACTCGCAACTTGAAAAGAGGAAATTCGAGTCGATTAGTCCGGAAATCAGGGGGGCTTTCTAGTGCGGGACGCCGGGCTGATTCTTGAGCCGCTCCCCTCCCACGGGACTAATATGGATAGCGGGGAGCTGAAACTTTGTCTGAATGCTGGAACTCGAGTCTAAAAAATATTTTGTTTACAGGACCAAAAAATTAAGACGACGTAGGACTATAGTTTAGTCCGGTGCTTAAAAAGCCGGTTCCCTTTAGACGTATTGACTGAGTATGCTCAAAGGTGTAACAGGGCTGAACTGAGCTGGCTATGTTCAAAAATTTTTAAGGTAATAGAACTGTTCCGTACGGTATGGCTGGGAGCACGAGCTGAAAAAGCCAAGTGCCATCCCTAGGCAATCGCCCAACACGGGCGCTTTGCCCGCCCCGGATTCATCTAGCCAGCCAGAGATCAACGCCCTCGAGCGTCGGTGGTTCAGTGGTAGAATGCTCGCCTGCCACGCGGGCGACCCGGGTTCGATTCCCGGCCGACGCAATTCTTTTTGCTTTTTGAAAATCCGATGGAGAAACTTATTTTGAAAGACTTGGCATCGAAGCCGCGAAAAATGCGAAAAAGAAGCTTCCGATTCCTTTGTTTTTGCCTAGCCATTGTCCTTGAGATCTGATTTCGGGCGGGGATGCTGGACTCGTGTTTTTTGAGGGCAGATCCGATTCATGGCGTTTTTTGAAGCGGAAGATGTACTATTTTTTCCAACAAACCGGGACTCGTAAGTTTAGCAAAGAGAATAGCTATCAAAAAAAAATAGAATCGGAAACCGACGCCCCAAAAAATTGCTAGTCAAAGATAAGGATTATTTTCTACCAGTACCAATTATTGTTATTGCTACAATTAGCGTGAAGGATTATTTTTATTATGATCCGGCATTACAATTAATCGTCAAAAATGAAAATGACAATTCTGAGTCATCTAGCCCCCCAAAACTAGAATTTTAAGATGTTCTAACCTTCAATATTGCTTCTAGGGTTAGCAAGTTTTTCAGCAAGACCAGTCTACCCCCCCAAAAAAAACCGATTCTTCCATTCGAAATGAAATAGAGCATTCAGAAAATCTTTTTGCTCCCGGCCGGCGAACCCCCCTCCATTCGTCCCTTTCTTCCAAAAAGCGGCCGAGAAAGGAAACCAATTCGCGGGGGAATCAAATTGGATGAGGAGGAGTAGGAGCGGCTAGACTTGTTGGCTCCATAGAGTCTGGAAGACCAAAAAACTTTTTATTCGGGATTGCCCCACGTTGCTGGGGCTGCAAAAAGCTGGCTTTCAAGGAGACAAAGTATCTTGTCTGGGCTGAATGCTACAAAGAGAAAAGGGCGAAAAAAACTGAAAAATTGCATCTTCAAACACGAAAACGAAATCGAGCTTAACCTAAGATTTTCCTTGCGTTTTTAGGTGGAGAACTCAGAAAATTGAGAAATTTTAGTTTTAAAATTTGAATAAATGCACAATGGAAAGAAAAAAAAATGGAAAAATAAAATCCCCACTTCTGGACCAACTCTCTACCTTATTTTTTGCGTGACGTTTTCGGCTGTTCGACCTTTTGTAAGTTTTTGTAAGCCGAAATTTAACGTTGCAGATACCAAAAATCTCTTTGGTTGTTAGTAATCTCGTACGCACAAAAAATACCATAACGAGCTTTAAGGAGAAAGAAAGAAAGAGAGGGAAAGACGACACGCGGCAGATGAGTGGCACTAAAAATTCAGAAAAACGGACTCTAACTCAAAAGACACAAAAATTCACTTTGAATAGCCAAAAACAAAGATATCCTTGTTTCCGGGTGGCTGTCAACCAAGCAGGCCCCGTTGGAAAACACCAAAATCGCATTCGGATTCCACTTTTTTCGGGTTCGCGGAACAAAAACTCTATTGTTTTTTGCAGTATATCTTTGCTTAAGACTCCATTTAGTAGCGCCGATAAGGAAAAATCGTCAGAAATTGAAGAGAGAGAGCACGGGAAAAGCAGCTTAAAATAGTTGGAGCTCAAAATCCAAAGAATGGAAAATTCGAAGCAGCCGCCAATCCTAAGGCGAGCCAAAAGTAATAAATTCCTAGAAAATTTTAACCCCATGAAACTTTTTCCGGGTTCCTCCACCAGGTAAGCCAGGGCGACGAGTTTTTGACCGAGGCGAATCAGGGGCCCTAAGAAGCGAAGGGCCTCCTTGTGGCC